AAAAGAAAAGAAGTTTCTCTTATGACTAGGATAAGGGCAAAGTAGGATAGAAATTGTAAAGAAGTCCTTACAGGAATTTCCTCAGTAAGATACAACACCCCATATTCTTTGAAGGAGGCCAGGAGATGACCAGATCTGAGTAGATATTAGCAAAGGTGTGGAATAGCTCTTCAGGATTTCAGAGAATTTTTTTTTAAGATTTTATTTATTTATTTGACACACAGAGAGAGAGAGCACAAGCAAGGGGAGCGGCAGGCAGAGGGAGAGGGAGAAGCAGACTCCACACTGAGCAAGGAGCCTGATGCAGGACCCAATCCCAGGATCCTGGGATCATGACCTGAGCTGAAGGCAGCCGCCTAACTGACTGAGCCATCCAGGTGCCCCAGAGAGTGGGTTTTTTAAAAGGCAGGAAGTGGGACTGATGAGTCATGTTTTATAGTTCAGCTGATGTTAGAGCTTATGAATTTTCATTGATTCCATGTTTTCAAAGATAGGCAGTTTTAATCCAGAAGCTTTAGTATAGAGGGTGGTTGTATAATTAATTGGCTCATGGCTGGGGTTTCTTAGGGCTCATACACAAGTGAGGTACAGAGATGAGAGCTCTGAGACTAAAAGTAGTTCTGAGAGCTGCTCCTAGTACTGAAAGCCGAGCTGTGAGTAAGGCTATTTCAAGCTCCGATCCCGGTATCCAGCCCAAATATGCTGGAGGACAAGAGACTCATCACCTAGGGAAAGTGGAGGGATCAAGAGGTGAGAGACCTGGATGAAGCCAAATAGCAGGTGTTATGGAATAAGTATATCAGAAACCTAGAAGGCTAGGCAGCTCTAGTCAGAAAGTAGGATCTTAAAGGTGGGGAAGTTTCTGGTGATGGAAAGATCTAAAGGGTGGCCATCGAAGAGGTTGTGTATATGCAGTAGAGATGAAAATCATAGGATTTGAGAAAGTCAAAGAAATGTGAGCCTAATGGGTAAAATGAGTTTTCCACTTGTATCTTACAGTTACTTGAGAATAATGGCAGGAACTGGGATGGAGCAGAAAGCTCTCACGCAGGTAGCAATTTTCTCTATGAATATGGACAAGTAACATGGATATGTCTGCAATAGGTAGCAGGCACAGGATTCATAAAGGGTGGGTATTCACACATAATGAGTCTATCTAGGAGAGATTTTGCGCGTTGGAGAAGAGTAAGACGCTGAAATGGAAAGTTAAGGAATAGGTTTAGGGAGAAAGAGTAATCCTCTTGACCAAAAAATATGGTGGACATCCTATTGGTCAGTAGCTACAGGAGAGGTATTGCAGCCACTATCCTAAAACCAGTAGAGAAAAACCGATCTCGGGTGAGAGCCATGTTTAATATAAAGCAAAACATAGAGGGAAGTTTTCATGAAGACTTAAAAAAATCGAGCAGGGTTTGTTTACAACAGAACAGGGGGTGGGAGCAGATGCCGGTAAGCTACAGGAAGCAGGGCGCATGGAATAGTAAGCAATTTGCTACCTTTTTCAAAATTTTTCTAAGCTCTGATTATCAGACCTATGCTGTTGCTAAGCAACAGACAAATTTTCCTTTATCACTTTGACACTGTCCCATCTTCCCTTCTGGAAACCAAAAAATAAAGGGCTAAGACAGTGTAACCCAGCTGGGAAAGGACGTGGCCTGCTGAGGAGAGACGTGGCTTTACAGTAAAGTAGCAGCAGGGCCATCCACATGTGCCATTATGAGCAAGGAGAGTACTTTTGGGGACTGTATTCTGAGGCTGCTGAGCAAGAGGCAAATGGAAAATGAATTTGGATAAGGGAGAGTTTATTAATTTGGGAGCACTCATCAGGAAGAGAAGAATGAATGCCTTGGGAAGGATCCTGGAAAACATGACTATCATACTTCCATGATGGCTCTTAGAAGCTTGAAGAAAGTGGTGACCCACACTGAGAGAAGTAGAAGGAGAATTGTCATGGCAGAGGGTGGAAGCAAGGGAGCAAAATGCTCGGGGAAGTGGGCATGCTAGAGTGGCTATCCCCTGTAAAGCTGGAAATTCCACCTGATGACAAAGTTCTGATTCAGATGCTCCATTTGTCAAAGTGACTAGGAATTTTCTGGTGAGAGGGGTACCCCATCGCTGAGGAGCTCAGTGGTGGCACTCCTCTGCGGGTCATGGCTGATGATAAAAGATGCTATCACCAAACTAGGTTCAAAGATAGCAACAAGGATAATAGATTCCTGAAACAATAGAGGCCAGGTGGCAGCACTTAACCATCAGAAGGGTACAACTGTCCTACTGAGTGGCAGAATTGGAGTGGCCCTCAGCGGCCTTGATCTAGAGAGAGCTGTGAAAATGATTAATAGAATATGGCACCCCTAGGGGAAAAGACAGAAGCCAGCCAACAAGAGTGTGCTCAATGAAAAAAAAAATCAAGGATGGACGAACACAAGGCTGAGAGCAGGAGCCTCAATAAAAAGTTTCAGTCTCTTCCCCAGATTCCTGACTTGAGGCAGTTCATCAATCCAGAGCCCAGTGGCTGAAGGAGAGACAGGAATGCAAGGAGGGAGGACCCTGAAACACCGTAGTGAGAATATATGGTAATGACTTCTCCCACCCCCACCCCACCCCCAATTCTTCCCCAAAGGGACATATGGCCATCCCCTTGGAAGACCATACACTGAAGAAGAGAGAATGCCTAAACATTTTGAAGATTGCTGGACACAATCATTATTGACACCTAGGAACTCTGAATATTATTATGGTCCCCAATTAGAGTAGAGGTATAAAGGAGCCAAATAATGAATGAATGGAGTTTTTGCCCAGATCTGGCATACAGCGGGTGCATTAAGCACATGGGCCTATGTGGTGATCATTTCCCCAGTCCTAAATGTATCATTGGAACAGACATACTTGATAGGTAGTATAACACCCACATCAGTTCCTTGGCCTATGGGATAAGAGTTGTCAAAGTGGGAAAGGGGAGCCTCTGAAATTACACAGTCAATATATTAAATAAAAAACAATATAGGAGAATGGTAGATATTAATGCCATTTTTGGTTCCCAATGTATCTCCATTTAATTCACCATACACGTCCCTCCAAAGACCCAACAGTTCCTGGAGAATAAACAATAGACTACTGCAATTCAACCAAGTAATAACCCCAGTTAGAACAACTGTACCACATGTGGTATCTTCACAAGAGCAGAGCCAGATGACCTCAGGTAACTGGCTTGAGGTGATCGATATGATGATTGTGTTTTTTCCCAACCTTATTAGAAAGTAGAATTAGAAAGTGTTTGCATTCAATTAGAATGAATAATGGGAAAATATTTATAGTGTACCCCTAGGGCTACGTTGTCTCTTCCACCCTCTGTCGTATTATAGTCTTAAGAGACTTGAAATGTTTGGACATCTCACAGAACACAACACTGGTCTGCTATATTGATGGCATTATCCTAATCAGGTTAGATTAACAAAGATTGGAGGCCTTGGTGAAGCATGTATACTCCAGAAGAATAAGATGAAAATCCCTACAAGTTGTTGGGGATCCAGCAAATCAGTGAAATTTAAGAATTATGGGGTCCAGAGCATATTTTTTGTGTCCTGTTTAAGAAAAATTTGCCTATTTCTCAGTCATGTTTTCTTACAGAATATTTATTATTTTACTTTCATATTTAGATTTATGATCCATCTGGAATTGATGTTTTGTATGTGTGAGGTAGGTGGGCAGCCTTTATTTCTTCTGTTAATCGATATCCCCAGGATCATACATTGAACCCTTCCCTCCAAAAAAACAACTTTCCTACAATGTTCTGTAGGAAAAAAAAAAATCAAATTACCTTAAATGTGTGGATTTTTTAGTCTCTCTTGACCATTTGCCTATTTTCTATCCTTGTGCCGAAAGACACTGATTTAATAATCTTAGCCTCATAATAGATCTTGATATCTGGTAGTGTAAGTACTCCAGCTTTGGTTTTTGAAATTACCTTGACTATTCTCAGCCTTTGAATTTTCATATATATTTTAGAATTTGCTTATCAATTTCCATTCAAAAAAATCTTCTGGGACATTGAAACTGCATTGAATTTATAGACCAGTTTTGGGAGAAATGACATCTTAACCATCTACAAACATGGTATAACTGCATTTATTTAGGATTTATTTTAATTTCTGCCAATGTTTTGTAGTCAGTAATGCTTTGTATCACATCTTTTGATAGATTTATTGCTAGGTTTATTTCTTTTTGAGGACTTCGGGTGATTCCATTTGCTAATTTCGTTTTTAGGATTTTTGCATCTATGTTTATAACAGAGATTGTAAAACAGTTATAAAACTGCCTCTTAACACTTTTTTCTTCTCATTACAAATGCTTTAGAAAACCAGAAATTATATGATCACAAGCATTCTCTAGGGTGTTTACTCTGTGATGTACAGGATGTAGAATGGATTATACAGGAGATGGGTAGTGAAGGATTAGGGGTCTCCTGGAGTATTAAGAGAAGAGCTTGGACCAGTTCGGTACAAGCAGAAATGAAAAGGAAGGATAGACTCCCCAGTGTTTAGCTCCTGATTAGATGGAGGGGTAACATTATGAAATAGAGAAGTTGGGAGAAGTTGATTTCGACTTGGAGAAGAGCAAAAATAATAAGCTGAGGGGTAAAATCTTTATCTTCATAACTGTCACCATCATTAGGGTGCATACAAAGGAATAACAGCAATTTTTCAGAAATCACAAATGCATGAAATTACATAACTGGCTAGTATGTTAATGTCTTTAATTAGAAAATTTCCTTCAGTTGCTTTGTGGCTAATTTTACAAATTATTTCCATTCACAATCAGAAAACGTAATTCATCGTATATTCGTTGAACACCTTCCAATGGGATCCGTACTTCATACATAACCTAATACAACCCATTTCTACACAGACTGCGCTTTTCCTTTCCTTAACCACCAGGTGGCGACCAGGAGCCCACGTCTCACTCCTGCTCCTCCCTCCTCTTCCCAGGCGGCCCAGCTCCCGGGAGCGCGCACGTTCCGGAGCCCTCGCTGATTGCGGGAGCTGCGGCCGCGCACGTCGGTCAGCTGCGGCTACGCCTTCGCGACTCGGCGGAGGCTCAGAGGACCCGGACCCATGTGGAAGCTGTTACCCGCCGCGGGCCCTGCCCGAGGTAAGGGCGGAAGGGAGCTGCCCCGGGACCGTCTTCCCGGGAGCAGCCGCGTTGGGCAGAGGGTCCGAGGAGGGCTGCTTCCGGTCGGTTCCCGTTCCTCTCTCCGCCTTCCGGCGCCGCCTTCGTCCCCGCCCCGGGAGGCTGCGGAAACGGGGTAGGCGAACCGTAGGCCTGCGTGTGGGGACCGCGTTGTCTTCCCGGGCGCCGGGCCGGTCAGTGGCGGCGGCGTCCCTCGCGCGACCTACCGCCAGGTTCTCGCTGGTTGGGACCAGCTCCTCCGGCAAAACCAGCGCTGCCGCGGCTTACAGGCCCCGCCGAGTTGAGCATTGGCCGGCCGCCTGTTGTGGCCTCTAGTGTTGGCCGCTCTTGGCCCAACACCTAGAATAAGTTGTCCCAGGCTGGACGCGCTGTGGCGACAGATGACTTGGGTTGGAGCACATTGTTTGATTTTGTGAGAAAACAGAGATGAGTTGGGTAAATGGCAGCCACAGGGAAGGCGTAATTTCAGTTTTGTTTTAGAGCCCTTTTTTTGTTATCAGAACTGAGAAAGTGGGGTGTTTTGTTTTTCTGTTCTGCACTTTCATCAGTGGCAGATGGTTATCTCCTGTTAATTGATCGCCTACTCAACGTCCTTATTAGTGGATAAGCAGCTGTAGCCTATGCTTGGGTCTTGCCCCCAGGGAGTTTATTCTGATCGGCAAAAGATCTACCTCGAAGCTGAATTTACGAACGGTGTATGAAGAGGACCAAACACGTGGTTAGAAAATAAAGAGTAAAAGACTCTTAAGATCCAGGCATCCCTGTGGACTTGGACGGAGCCGAGGTAGAACATAAGCTGTTGCTGGGAAGCAGGACTCAGTTCCTTTCCAGGAACAGTTGTGGTCTGTGGCTGGCTCTCAGTTCCTGTGGAGAGAGGTAGATCACAGTGGGAAAACGCTTTTATCGTCAGTGGCCAGCATTCTTGACTTCTAGGAGACTGTGACCTCTTTTCAGAATCTAACGGACACTATGGGCCCATTCCTCTAGAAGAAAACTGTAAGTAAACCAAGGCACGATTTTTTTTCCTTGAAACACCCCACTCTAGGCTGAGTTTCTGAATAACAAAATGTGATCCAAACATGACTTGCCTTTCTACTTGTCTAGTTTATATGCCCTAATTACCCTACCACTCCAGTGATGGACTCATGAGCCCCCACAAATCCAACAAATATGCTGTTACACAACAATTTGTGATTTTCAACATTTTTTTTTTTAGAAACTAAACACTTTCTCACTTACTTGAAATGCTACCTTTAACATAAAAACAAAATTCCCCAAAATATATACTTAAATCAGGTCTGAACTTTTCTTGCATTGACCTATGTTTACTCCTAATTCAGTACCATATATTTTAATTACTATAGCTTTATGGCATAGTTTACCATCTTGTAGGGGAAGTTCCTGTAAATTTCAGATTTTTCTTTACAGTTTTTTTACATTCCATTTTCCCAGTGGATTTTTGAATCTGTTTATCAGGTTCCAAACATAGTATTGTGATTTGTCTGGTAATGTATAAAATGTATAAGTTAATTTGGACAAGCATTGACACTTGTTTTTTTTTTAAATTTATTTGCTAGAGGGCAAGAGTGCGCGCGAGCCAGTGGACACGTACGTGCATGGGAGGCAGAGGGAGAGAGATGAACCCCAAGCCGACTCTCCACTGAGCACTGAGCCCAACATGGGGTTCAGTCTCATGACCTGGAGATCATGACCCTGAGATCATGACCTGAGCCGAAACCAAGAGTCAGACGCTTAACAGACTGAGCCAATCACCTCTGACACTTCAGTATTGTTTTCACTTTAGAAAATGCTAGAGCTTTCCATCTGTTTAAGTAATCTTTTGCGGGGCGCCTGGGTGACTCAGTCGTTAAGCATCTGCCTTTGGCTCATGTCATGATCCCAGGGTCCTAGGATTGAGCCCCACATCGGGCTCCCCGCTCTGCAGGAAGCCTGTTTTCCCTCTCCCCCTGCTTGTGTTCCCTTTCTTGTTGTGTCTCTATCAAAAAATAAATAAAATCTTTAAAATAAAATAAAATATCTTTTGCATCTTTCAGTGGTTTTACTAGAAATCACAGGTTTGATTTATATGAAGTTGATTATTAACATTTAAAAACAAAAATATTTTACGTATTTGCTATACCTATGTATACATAATCATGTGTGTGTCTATACATTTACTTTTTTCTTTTTTTTAATTCTTAGAACCATTCAGACTTTTGACTGGTGTTGAATACATTGTTGGACGGAAAAACTGTGGCATTCTAATTGAAGGTGATCAGTCAATCAGTCGAAATCATGCTGTGTTAACTGCTAACTTTTCTGTAACCAACCTGGTATGTTACCAATTTTATTTCACTAGCTTAAAGTAAGGGGGTTGAAATTACACGATTACTTTGGTGTGTATGTAAGAGAGAGTTTGTAGGATTTTTAATTCCATAAAGGTGTTAGTTTTTTTTAATGTTAAAATTAAATACTTAATTTTGGTAGTGGTAACAGCGGTGTTTGTTTTGATATTTGAAGTTTCTGTTCCAGTGTTTGTTGTTGTGATTTAGAAACTCAAAGGAAGTAGAACACAGTTATACTTATTTAATGAACAGTAGGTGCTTACAGTGTCTATCATTGTGCCAAACCTGGTAATAGAGCAGTGAACATAGCATCACACTCCTGCTTATAGAGTTTGTATAGCCAGGTGAACACAGGCATTTCCCATATAATGTAGGTTTTCACAGTGGGAATTGGTTTGTTTTATTAGGAAAAATAGCTGTTGCTTCTCTCAGTTCTTTGAATGGCTTTGAGTTTGTTTTGGTTGGTTAGTTTTAATCACAACAGTGGATGGTAAAAATAATAATATATATAAATGGCTGTGCTCATGATAACACTGGTGATAATAAGAAAAGCCATTATTTTGAGCAAAGACTACATATCAACAAATGCTGGATCTTTCAGTAATATTTAGCTTTTGTGCCTGTATTCTTTTAGGTATAAAAAAAGATTATTGAAATTCCTAAAGGAAAAATATAATTATTACTTTAAGTCAGACACTCTAACCTTTTCTCTTTGGAATATTTTTTTTTTTCTCATTAAACTTTTGTTTTAATGGGTCTCAAAATTCTGTCACAGATTTTTGGTCAAGTTGTTTCCATTAAAAAGTACTGATTTTAAAAACTAATAACTTAAAACTGCCACACACACACACAAAAAAACAAATGGTCCACAAAACATTCTCCTTTCCTTCTGAAGGTTTTACGATGCATTGTTATCATTAACCAGTCTTTTACTATTAAACTTAAATGGCCAATTGACACAAACAGTTCTGAGACCGTTCTTCCACCACTGCTTAAGACTGGGGTGGCAGGTATTGGGGATAATATTCATTTAGCCTTCTGAGCTTTCTGGGCAGACTTGGTGACCTTGCCAGCTCCAGCTGCTTTCTTGTCCACTGCTTTGATGACACCCACAGCAACCGTCTGTCTCATGTCATGAACAGCAAAACGGCCCAGAGGGGGATAGTCAGAGAAGCTCTCAACACACATAGGCTTGCCAGGAACCATATCAACAATGGTGGAATATTTTTTTACAGTGTTATTTTGATAATGTAAAAAAAAAAACTTAGGGACGAAGCTGTCATGGATAAAACAGACTACACAAAAGCAAAGAAATTCTCAAATGTGTGAAATTGAGGGGTCAGAAAAATCTGCACTGACTTACAAAAATAAAGAAAATGCATGTTCTAAGAAGAGTGATCCTGGAATTCAGACATTTACTACTAATTTCTAGTTGAGTGATCTTTCTGTGCCCACAACCGAAACAATAACTATTGCCTTCTATGTTGGGAGGTTAGCCATCTATCCAGTTGCCTATTCAAAAAGTTACCAGCTTTTTGTTTTGAAATCTTTCCCCCCCGGGAATTGTATTTACTGATTGGTAAAATACTTTAACTGTATTGATTTTTATTTGTTTCAGAGTCAAACAGATGAGCCTCCTATATTGACAATAAAAGATAATTCTAAGTATGGTACCTTTGTTAATGAGGAAAAAATGCAGAATGGCCTTTCCCAAGCTTTGAAGACAGGGGATAGAGTTACTTTTGGAGTGTTTGAAAGTAAATTCACGTAAGAATTTTTTTAATTGATATTAAAAATGGATGGTTTTGTTTTGCACTGAGCAAATTTTAAAGGACATGAGATTTATGGATAATGAATTTAAAACCGTTTAATTTAGTTCTTGCTTAGCACATTAGTGCCCTTTGCATCGCATGTGGTTAGTGCATTTTGTCAATCACAGATAGTGCCAAGAGTGAATAAGAGTTCAAATGGTCTCTGAGAACTTTGATGGGAGCTACATTTGTTTGATTACACATAAGTGAAAATATAATGTTAACTTTGATCATTGTTTTTTCTTAAGTGCAACTCAAGACTTAGGAAGTGATAATTTCATGAATTAGAAAGTTTAATACATAAAAATTAAAATAATAGCATGTGATGTGAGCTTAAAGTACCGTAAGTTGCCATCTTTGGAGCTATGATAATACAACTTTATGTAACTTATTCTCATTTACAGAGTAGAATATGAGCCTTTGGTTGCATGCTCTTCTTGTTTAGATGTTTCTGGGAAAACTGCTTTAAATCAAGCTATATTGCAACTTGGAGGACTTACTGTGAACAGTTGGACAGAAGAATGTACTCATCTTGTCATGATAACAGTCAAAGTTACCATTAAAGTAGGTTGAATGCCATCTTATTATGTTAAAATAAGTTTTGTATTTAAGCTTACTCACCAACTATACACAAAACATTTTTAAAACCATTAACTTTAAAACTATCAGAACTGTTAGTTGTGGGTTTATATATGTCAACCCATGCCTTCGTGTGCCATTTAGGCTCGAATGATGTTTCAGATAACCTGTTTATTATTTGAGACAAGCAAAAGCATATAAAATTATATTTGATTTTGACTTAACATTTTAAAAATGATATATGTCATATTTTCACCAGTGAGTTTATTACAGTGTGTAGTTGGTATCTTCAGTCTAAAAGCAAAGTGAAGTCCACTGGCAGTGCTCCAAAATTAGCATCTCTAGTCCCTTCTATCAAGTTGTCTTCCTCCAGCTCATCTCATGGTCTCATCCTCTCTTACTCAGTTTCTATTTGGTTTTCTAAGTTTTTTTTTTTTTTTTAAGATTTTATTTATTTATTTGACAGAGAGAGACACAGTGAGAGAGGGAACACAAGCAGGGGGAGTGGGAGAGGGAGAAGCAGGCTTCCCACTGAGCAGGGAGTCCGATGCCGCTTGATCCCAGGACCCTGGGATCATGACCTGAACCGAAGGCAGACGCTTAACGACTGAGCCACCCAGGCGCCCCGACTTTTTAAGTTCGTATAGTTTAATATTACCTTAATGTATCTTCACCATCTAGAGATATGTAGATATGTACCATTAGAAGATGCCAACTCTTCATTAAAACAGTGATATATTTTGGTATGTTTTCAGATTTTGCATCTTCATCAGATTTGGTTATATCCAAAGCTAATTGAAGAATGACATTGGGAGGTGATTCGTCTCTTTTTAAACAGGTTGATTATAGATATGTGAGATTGTTTTAGGTTAATATCTATAGTAAAAAGCAACAAATATTTAGATTCCTTTATTAGATGGTACAAAAATCCTTTAATATCTAATATAATTAAAATATGTATATTACAGCTAAACAGATGTCGTAGAGAAAGGCTTGCTGCTCAGATTGAACCTCAGGTTAAACTTGTATGTTGGTGGGGTTATCTCTGATGAAGGATCTTTGCAAGTTTATGAAGTTTATAAATTCAGCAGAGTAATTGGCCTCCTGAGTACTAATTTATGCTAATAAATCAAAACATCCATTTATTAGTTTATAGTAGGTATGGAGCTTTATAGTGACCACATATTTATGTGTGCACTCCCAACACAATCCCCTTAAAGATACTAAGGTACCTGAGAAGTGAGATTTAGGTCATTATGTGCTCACTTGGTGGATATGAAATAAGAGCAAAGGCAGTTAGATGGTCTTGAGAGATATTTTACTGAGTCTGTGACAGACTTGGAACTAGCGTCCATTCACCGGAGTACACGCTGTTCCAGTGACCGAGATACTAACGGCACTGGATATTAGAGCGTCACTGTATATATACCAGCAACGACTTGCAGAGCAATCCTTTTTCAGTACTTTTGATCAGTCATGTGCCAAAAAAGAAAACTAGTTATTATTTTTTGAGTAAATTTTCCAAAAGTACAGGTTACCTTGTATTTTTAAAATCGTTAAATGTTAGAACCAAAAGGAAACTTAAGGAACATTTCGGTTCAGTTTTTATTTTCTGAAGAGGCAACTGAGACATGGAGCACTTAAATCCTTTGCCCAGGATCACATGTATTGGAGCTTCCTTCCTGCCAGAGGCCAATTATTTCACTCACATTTGAGGTTGTTGTATTCAGATTCCAGTTTTGAGAGGCACCCTACATTGCGTGCTCATATTTAATTAATACCCCATGTTATTAGAAGCATACTTAGAAATTCTTCAGTGGGATTATTTCCTAAGATTATGCTGAATCTTTATTTTCATCTCCAGTGGTGGTATTTTCTAATCTTTTTCAGATTTTGTGGTACATTTTATTTGATGTTTATAGCTTAGGTCAGTTGCTAGTTAAAGTTTCTCCACCCTTACCCCCAATCTCTGTGTACTTATTTTGAGCTTTTACCCCACTCCAAACAGTTATTCCTTTATTTACTTTCTTGAAAATACTTTATTCCATAGTTAGAATCTGTTCAAAAGGTATTTAGGCAGAAAAGATCTTATTATAGCTCATGTTTATCTCTTGATACTGTCTTCTCTAGGGTAGTTGTTATATTTACTTAATTCTGCGATCTACTTTTTAACAATTTAAGAACTTTTAAATTGGAATACACTTTAAAATTGACTTATTTTATGTTACATTGTTCTGCCCTCCCCAAAGCAGTTTTTAAATTAATACTGTAATGGGTGGCTTCTTAAAATTAAATGATTATATAGAGATTTGTATACTAAAACTAAACAGTGACCAAATACTTCAGTTTTATAGATTGTGACTTCTTTATAAATTTAGAGAAATGAAAGGAAAAGCATAATAAACAGAACAGCCCCTTTGTAGTCTCTAACTTAAAACCTTTCTTTAAAGAAAAGCTAGCACATGAGTATTTGTATTCACATATGTTTTCTTCTTTCCAGACAATATGCGCACTCATTTGTGGATGTCCGATTGTAAAGCCAGAATATTTTACTGAATTTCTTAAAGCAGTTAAGTCCAATAAACAACCTCCACAAATTGAAAGGTATATCTGTATTTTTTTTTAACCTATACCAGTTTATTAAAGGATATGATAAAGGATACTAACCAACAGCCAGATGAAGAGATACACAAGGCAAGGTATGGGGAAAGGGCAAGGAGCTTCATGCTCTCTCCAGGTACACTACTCTCCCTGCACCTCCATGTGTTCTCCAACCTGGAAGCTCCTGTATTGTGTATTTTAAATATAATACAACATACAGAATGCAATAGCACGGATTTTATTTAGGTTGATTCCCTCTTTAATGACTGTTTCAGGATGTAGTGTTCAGTTTAACAAAGTTTTTTTTGTTGTTAGTATGTAAAAGAAGGGTTTGTTGGTGTTCTTTATCTCAGTAAAACAAATGTTACATATGTATCAATATTTTTTTTAAAGATTTTATTTATTTATTAGAGAAAGAGCACGAGGAGAACTGGGCAGGAGAGGGAGAAGCAGACTCCCCACTGATCAGGGAGTCTGACATGGGGTTCGATCCCAGGACTACGAGATCATGACCTGAGCTGAAGGCAGATGCTTAACCGACTGATCCACCCAGGTGCCCCCATATGTGCCAATATTTAAACAAAAAAATTGAAGGACAGCAAATGGCACGGAGGTACAATCAAAAGGCCACAACATGTTCCAGTGCCTGACATCATGGAAGCAGTACCCCTGGAATTGGGTTGTGCAGCAACCCTGTCCTGGAGTCACATAGTCCTGGGCCAAAATATTAACAGCACTGTGGCCTTGGGAATGGAGCTTATTTCTTTTGATCATCAGTTACCTCCCTTGAAAAATGAGACTAATATCTGTCCTATATTTAAGTATTTAAGTAGTATTAGTTATTTTAAGTAATAGAGTATACAAAGTCTGAGCATTTTGCCTGGCACTATAATAGGTGCTTGTTAAAAGAAATGCTGCCAATTGCAATAATACCGTGTAAGATTCACAGTAGCTTTATGATGATGGTGATGATGATTTTAGATGCTCTGCTGAATTTGTGAACCACCAGACTAAGGGATCTGTCTACTGTATAGTATTTGTGATGCTTTGAAGGTAATATAAGCTGTGGTTGAGGAGGAAGATATTTGGATTTTTATTTTCAGATTGCATGGTTAAATTGCTGGTGACTATAAAATGGTGGTGTTTTTAGTCAACTTAGCACAAGAACATGCTTGCTTAAAATATGTCAAGGGGCGCCTGGGTGGCTCAGTCGGTTAAGCGCTGCCTTCGGCTCAGGCCATGATCCCAGGGTCCTGGGATCAAGCCCCGCATCAGGCTCCCTGCACAGTGGGAAGCCTGCTTCTCCCTCTCCCTCTCCCTCTGCCTTCTGCTCTGCCTATCTGTGCTCTCTCTCTCTGTCTCTGTCAAATAAATAAATAAAATCCAAAAAAAAAAAAAAGTCAATAGATTATAGTCTGTATGGCATAATAGGCAAACTATAAGCTCATCTTAATCTCTATAAGACAACTTTGAATATTTGAGTCTTTAAAAATCTAAAATGTTAATGCAAGTTAAGAATTTTATTAGTAGTTGTAAAATATCATTAGCTGTCATAAACAATTTTGCCTAATGCTGGTGTTTTTGTTTTTTTTTTTTGAGGTGGGGAGATTATTTATGCCTAATAATATGTGTCTGTTTTTAAAAGTAACTGAAAGTCAGATTTTTATTCTTTTTCTTTTTTTTTTTTCCCATTTGGGAGGTTTCTTGTATTTTATATTTGGGTTAACTAATAATGTAATATTTTTGGATTCTGGAAAGAGGTCCTCAGATTTTAAAATAGATAATTGTAAACCTTTTTTGAATCCTAGACTCCTGTGAGAACGTGAAAACACTGTTTTCACAGTTTCCTCCAGAAACTTCACTTTCATACTACCAGCGTGCCTAGTATTTCAACAGAATCACATCTTCCTCTAAAGCCTTTTCATGATCCTCCCTATGGAAGCCAATAAATACCATAAATAAAGACGCTTGCTACAGATAATAAACGATTGTTAATCCTATATTACTTGGGAGTGGAATAGTCTGATAGGTTTTTACTACTGATGATATGTGTTTTATGGTCTTGAAAGTTTTAGGATTAGTCATTGATTTCTACTTACTGTTCAGACTCCCCGGTATGTTTAACCTGGGTCTATTTTTGACTTTAGGTTCAGCGTAATTTTTTCTGGCTTCAATGTATGACTATATTAACTTAGATGACTATAATAAAACATCTTGCTCTAAGATTGTTTAATAACTTCACTGTATTTAAAATAAAAGGGATATTTTTAACCTAACAAAAAGTATAGCTCTATTTAGTGCAGTTGTGTCTTCATCTTTGCACTGTTGCCAAGAGACAGGGTAAGACGGAGTTTAAGCTTCATGTACCTGACATGATTTGTGAGATCTCATTTGCCTAAATTGTCATCAAAATACCAATGTAGATGAAGTCATTTTTAGAAGACTCCATTTAAAATATTTATTTTGATAATCAATACTTTATTAAAGGAAGCTCATTAAAATATTGTATATTTTCTGAATGTAAAGAAATGATCCCTTAGAAGGAGTTACCTTTTGCTTGAATTTTTACAATTTCGTATCATGGAGTGCTCTCTCAATTACTGAATTTCAAATAACAAGCATTGTATTTGGGAAAACACTTTTGGGAGAAAGTTAACCTTTGCATTCATATACAACTTGTCAAATGTGCCAAGAATGCAAGGCACTGACTGCCCTATATACCCAGGCCATTTCTCAGGGTTTGCATTGAAAAGCCTTAAGGGAAGAGGTAGTGTCCCTTTCGGGACAAAGAACAGGCCTGCTTATAGCTTGCTATGAAACTCATGGATTCTCAAGTTCATTGTTCCTTTCTCCTGTAACACAACCTACTGTATGTGCCTTTTATATCATCCTGACCAGACTTGGTCAGGGAGATCTACCACAGATATGCAGAGGCTTGCTGCTCACTTTGTCTCTGATCTAGGAGTCTTGTGTCTTCTGCCCACATCCAAGAAACAGGAACAGGCTAACTTACTGGCTTGTAATCAAATATCGGACCCAAGAGACACATTAGTCTGAAGCAGTCTTAGTTTATGGAGTTGACTGTATATAATCAATCAAAATTCAAGGCAAAGAAATTTAACATACAGCAGAAATTTGTTCCTGACTATATAACCTTATATTTACAAGTTGTGAATGTCAATGTAACTTGGGCCTTTTAGAGATCACCAAAAGGAAGCAATATAAGTTGTTGTACAAATAATGAACATATACCTATAGGACTGACTAATGAAATAAACAGCTGTCCAGATGTTGGGCAAATGAATGGTGTGGCTTGAAATACAGTTTCCATGATAAGGATTATACATGAATTGAGAAAAATTGTGTATTTGAAAAATCTTGGGACAGAAATTAAGATGATGTGCTTTGAATTAGATGAAATTTATTGAAGATACAAAGAATTTAAGCAAGTCATAAAATGTACAGAAAAAAATCAGTATTTCTAGATTAATATTTTTGTAGAATTTGTGAATTATATGTACTAGTTACTATTTAATAAAACATTATTTGTAGCTCTCAAAGTTTCTATATAAGTGTGCCAAAAAATGTTTTAATTTTTTCATTATAGAAATTGGAGATTATATTTGCAGTAGCCTATTATTTAGGCAATGTGCCTCTAACCTTGGTCTCTGCCAAGTTAGTTTACTCTTTTCCAAATTTTTTACTAGCTATCAAATCACTGGAGCCTCAGAAATACTTTAAAAGTTCTAGAACATATTGCTTCAGAAATACTGATTTTTAGTGGTGTTTTCCTCACATTTATTTGTTTCTTGTTCTCATCTTTATACTATTAACGAGAAAAAAGCTTGTTTAGATATATAAAGTTCAAAGCACAGTGTATTATTTATCACTGTATTAATAATTTTATTTATCATACATATGCATATATATGTATATGTATACACGTGTACCAGACTCCAACATTTGGTTAGATTCTTCACAATACAGTGATGTATTTTTTTGCAAAATCAGTCTTACTGAGTGGCTCAAATTTACCACTTTTTTTTTTTTTTTTTTTAAGATTTTATTTATTTATTTGACAGAGAAAGAGATAGCGAGAGAGAGAACACAAGCAGGGGGAGTGGGAGAGAGAGACACAGGCTTCCCGCTAAGCAGGGAGCCCTCTGCAGGGCTCCATCCCAGGACCCTGGGATCATGACCTGAGCTGAAGGCAGATGCTTAACGACTGAGCCACCCAGGTGCCCCAATTTACCACTGTTTTTAAAAGAAAACCAAAATATATTTTTTCAGTCCCAGAATTTTAAAGCTCAAATCTGTATATTGAGGGAATTAAGGGATGTTTATATTTTTGTCTGTTTTTATTAGATGCATTTTTAATTTATATTTTGTACTATCAGTTTATTACCAATTTTTTTTTTTTAAGATTTTATTTATTTATTTGACAGAGAGAGACACAGCGAGAGAAGGAACACAAGCAGGGGGAGTGGGAGAGGGAGAAGCAGGCTTCCCGTGGAGCAGGGAGCCCGATGAAGGGCTCGATCCCAGGACCCTGGCATGACCTGAGCCCAACGCAGACGCTTAATGACTGAGCCACCCAGGCGCCCCTATTACCAAATATTTCTGAATGCCTACCATGAATTAGGCAAGATAGACCTGAGGATATAGTGATGAGCCAAAAAGCATTACAGTTTCTGCCCTCATGGCAGTTGGTAGAAGAGCCAAATACTAAAAACCAGACACATTAAAATTAGAACTCTGGTAGTGCCATCAAGAAAAACTAAGGGTATATTAGGCACCTGTCTTTAGGAACCTGATTCAAGGTTTAACAAATGTTTACTCTTCATTGAACTAAACTATAATTAACTGCTCTCCGGGGACAATAAACTATTATTTGGGGCAAAATTAAGAACGACAGTGTAATAGTGGTGTAGGTAATTTAAAAATCATTTTTCATTGTCATTGGAAGGCAGTAAGACTCACATCTGTTGAGGTATATGTATGTGTTAAACATTTACACACCATTTTTGCCTAGGACTGGCTCCATCATCCGGTGTTAGAGTACTATGTACACTAATTCGTGGACTAGCCATTTGTGTTTAAGTGAAGTGATAGTTGCCTTTCACACTGAAAGAAGTGTGAAATATGGGAGAATTCTTATTAAAAGGGAGAGGATAAAAGGCATTCAAAGAGATACTAAAAATCTATCCTATTTATGAATTAGAAAGAATATTTACTAATTTTCTAGCACTAACTTTTTTTATCGTAGATTTAACTTTAACGGTTAAAATAGTTTCCACTATTATCTGTGTCTTTAAAAGTAAATAAATAGAATTATAAAGTCAGTTATTTAGAAAATCAGAATAATGCAATGGGTTGCATTTCACCTTGTTGGCTAGGTCAGCTGTTGCCTGCAGATAACTCATTTATTTGAGATTGCAGTTTCTAGGAATCACTGTCTTGGAATAGATGTACAATATCCATTGTAGCAGGTTAAAACACATTTGTGATTTAATCAGTTATTTAAAAAAATTAATGTAATTTTTTAATTATGACTTAGATAACTTTGAGAAATAGGCATGTTGCCAAGGAGAAATCTGAGGGGGAAAAAAAATGTAAGAAAATTAGTTGTAAAATGTGGGATGGTGATCCTCATGACCAAAATATTTTTACCATATTGGATGTTCCTCTCTGCAGATGGCTAAGTCTGGATTGTTTAGTGACTAATTGTCCAGGTTGTGAATTTCCCCTGTCCTACATTGTTTCCTCGTCATCACCATGATGTGTTAGTAACTTTTTTAAGATTTTTTTTTTAAGAGCAGTTTTAGGTTCATACCAAAATTGAGAGGAAGATACAGAGGCTTCCCAGATACCTCCTGTTTCCACACATGCTTTGCCTCCCCCAATAGGGGTACCTCCATCAAAGTGGCATGAACCTACATTGACATCATAATCACCCAAATTTCATAGTTTACATTGGGGTTTACTCTTGGTGTTGTACATTCTGTGGGTTTGGATAAATATATAGTGACATATATCAATCATTATAATATCAAACTGAGTATTTTCACTGCCCTGAAAACCCTCTGTACCCTACCTGTTCATCGTTGCCACCCCGCCAACTCCCAGCCACCACTGAACTTTTACTGTTTCCATAGTTTAGCCTTTTCCAGAATGTCATATGGTTGGAATAATACGGTAGGTAGCCACTTCAGAATGGCTTTTTTCACTTAGTAACATGCATTTAAAGTGTCTTCATGTCTTCATGGCTTGGTAGCTCATTTCTTTTTAGTGCTGAGTAATATTTCATTGTTTGAATGTACTACAGTTTATCCATTCACCACCTGAAGGACATCTGGGTTGCTTCCAAGTTATGGCAGTTAAGAATAAAGCTGCTATTCACATCCGTATCAGGTTTTAGTGTGGACATAACTTTCCAGCTCTTTTGGATTAAGTACCAGGGAGTGCAGTTGCTGCATCATACAGTAACAATGTGTTTAGTTTTGTGAGCAAGTGCCAAGCTGTCTTCCAAAGTGGCTTTACCATTTTGCATTCTCATCAGCAGTGAATGAAAGTTCCTGCCACTCCACATTCTCACAAACTTTGGTGTTGTTTATGTTCTGGATCTTGGCCATCCTGATAGATGTGTAATAGTGTCTCATTGTTCTAATTTGCATTTTTCTGATAACATGATGTATTGAGCATCTTGTGCTTCTTTGTTATCTATTTCTTTGGTGAGGTAGCTGTTAAGATTTTAGCCCTTTTTAAAAAAAATTATTAAATTCAATTGAGTTAACATATAGTGTATTATTAGTTTCAGGGTTAGAATTTAGTGATTCATCAGTTGCATATAACACCCAATGCTCATTACATCAAGTGCCCTCCTTAATGCCCATCACCCAATTACCTCATCTCCCCAGCTACCCCCATCCCCTCCAACAACCCTCAGTTTATTTCCTATAGTTAAGAGTCTCCAACGGTTTGCCTCCCTCTCTGTTTTTATCTTATTTTATTTTTCCTTCCCTTCCCCTATGTTCATCTGTTTTGTTTCTTAAATTCCACATATGAGTGAGATCCTATGGTATTTGTCTTTCTCTGACTGACTTACGTCACTTAGCATAATACTGTCTAGTTCCATCCATGTCATTGTATATGGCAAGATTTCATTCTTTTGGATGGCTGAATAATATTCCTGTGTGTGTGTATGTGTATATGTATATATTACATTTTTATCCATTCATCTGTCAGTGGACATCTGGGCTCTTTTCATATTTTAGCTATTATGGATATTGCTCTATAAACATTGGGGTGCATGTGTCCCTTCGAATCACTCTTTTTGTATCCTTTGGATAAATACCTAATAGTGCAATTGTGGGCTGTAGGGTAGTTCTATTTTTAACTTTCTGAGGAACCTCCATACTGTTTTCCAGAGTGGCTGCATCAGTGTGCATTCCCACCAAGAGTGTAAGAGGGTTCCCCTTTTTCCACATCCTTGCCAGCATCTGTTGTTTCCTGCGTTGTTCATTTTAGCCATTCTGACCAGTGTGAGATGGTATTGTGGTTTTGATTTGTGTTTTCCTGATGAGGATTGATGTTGAGCATTTTGCATGCGTCTGTTAGCCATTTGTAGGTCTTTTTTTTTTTTTTTTTTAGATTTTATTTATTTTTCAACAGAGAGACAGTGAGAGAGGGAACAGAAGCAGGGGGAGTGGAAGAGGGAAAAGCAGGCTTCCCACCGAGCAGGGAGCCCGATGTGGGACTCCATCCCAGGACCCTGGGATCATGACCTGAGCCGAAGGCAGACATTTAATGACTGAGCCAACCAGGTGCCACATTTGTATGTCTTTGGAGAAGTGTCTGTTCATGTCTTCTGCCCATTTCTTGATTGAATTTTTTATTTTTTGGGTTGTTGATTTTGATAAGTTCTTTATAGATTTTGGATACTAGCCCTTTATCTGATAAGACATTTGCAAATATCTGCTTCCATTTCCTAGGTTGCCTTTTAGTTTTGTTTCCTTTGCTGGCAAAAGTTTTTTATCCTGATGAAGTCCCAATAGTTCATTTTTGCTTTTGTTTCCCTTGTCTCTAGAGACATGTCTAGCAAGAAGTTGCTACAGGATTTTGGCCCATTTTTTAATCAGGTTGTTTGTTTTCTTATTGTTGAATTTTGAGAGTTCTTTGTATATTTTGAGTAACAGTCCTTTATCAGATGTGTCTTTTGCAAATATTTTCTTCCACTTTCTGATACATCATCTCATTTTCTTGACATTGTCTTTCACAGAGCAGAAGTTAAAAAATTTCTTTAGACATTTTAAAATTTAATGAAGTCTAGCTTATAATTACTTCTTTCATAGATCATGCCCAGTGTTGTATCTAAAAAGTCACTGCTGTAACAAAGGTAATCTAGATTTTCTTCTGTGTTATCTATGTTATCTTCTAGGAGTTTTATAGTTTAGCATTTACTTTAGGTCTGTGATCCATTTTGAGATAATTTTTGTGAACACTGTAAGGTCTGCGTCTAGATTCATTTTTTTGTATGTGAATGTCCAGTATCCAGTATCCTCATCATTTGTTGAAAACACTATCTGAGCTCCATTGTACTGCCTTTGTTCCTTTGTTAAAAATCAGTTGGGTATATTTATGTTAGTCTATTTCTGGGCTCTCTATTCTCTTTTGTCTATTTTCATAGTATCAGACTCTTGATTACTGTAGCTTTACAGTAAATCTTGAATTTGGGTTGTATTAGTACTCCAACTTTGTTCTTCCTTAATATTATGCTGGCTATTCTAGGTCTTTTGCCTCTCATATAAACTTTAAAATCTGTTTGTCAGTATCCACAAAATAACTTGCTGGGGGCTTTATTGGGATTACATTTAATCTATAGGTCAAGTTGGGAAGAACTGACATCTTGATGATATTGAGTTTTCTTATCCATGAGCGTTAGTAATTGGTAATTTTTACTTGAAGGTAGAGTTAAGCTGAAAGACTGATCAGCTATAAATTGCTGTAGCAAAAGATTTGATTATAAAGAACGTTGAAACTGAACTGATGTGAGGCTTAATAATTATCTGTTGATTTTATGTATTTTCTTTTCCTTCATTTTCATGGATAAGATGTTTTATAGCCTTATGTTAAAGAGCTAAAAGATTGTTTATGGTAGGGAGAGAGAATCCCAAGCGGGCTCCACACCCAGTGCAGAGCCTGACACTCCCACAAACCCAAGATCATGACCTGAGCTGAAATCAAGAGTCAGATGCTTAATGAGCTGAACTACCCAGGCACCCCAAAAGATTGTGTTTTCTAATCTCACTTTGGAAATTTTATTTAAATTGACAAATATTTTAAGTTTTAAAATTTCCTGGGCTTCTCCAAAGGGATCTCTAAAAACACTTAAAATAGTGGTTCATAGAATTGGATGTGAACATTGTTAACACATATTGGTTCCCAGGAAACACAAGATGCGAATAGAATTTCATCTTTATGGACAGTGTCTCTTTCAGCCTTTTATAATTCACATAACTTGTTCGACTCCTATATATTAAATCATATTTTAGGATGGTCTACCCTTGGATTATATTTTTTCAGAAAATAAGGAACAGTTATGCAATTCTATATGGCATCTGTCACCATTTTGTCCCAGATAAAACTCTTTTTTAAAAAAATAATGATGAGTTAATGATGTTATGAAAATTAAACCTTCCTAGTGTCTAGATAGCCACTCTATTTATAAATTTAACAGTATACATACAGAATAATGTATAATTAAAATATTCTTTAAATTTTTTGTACAGCTTTTACCCACCTATTGATGAACCAGCTATTGGAAATAAAAACATTGATCTGTCAGGACGACATGAAAGAAAGCAAATCTTCAAAGGGAAAACGTTTGTATTTCTAAATGCCAAACAGGTAATCTTATGAGCTAAATTTTCTTAAAACATTATAAACTAGGATAAATTATTACTGTTATCAACAGTTATATTTTTTTTGAGATTTTGTGTAGAAGTGTGAAGTGAAACTATCTAGGCACCAGAACTTGCCTGGTATTCATGTATGTGAGATATTTTTTTTGACATGTTAATTGGCCAATAAATTAAGTTTATATAAATCTATAAGTGAGGGGTGGGGACAGAAAACTGATTTAAGTCCTTACTTGGTCAGTTAGTAAATAGATGTTGAATGTCTTCTGTGTGCTGAAATGGGGGTTCAGAGAGTTTATGTTGTAGGTGGAAAATGCAAGCAAGCCCACAGTTAGAGCACTGTGAAGTAAGTATGATAAGGAAGTGCAAAGAATGTAACAATTCCAGGGCTGCAGAGATACCTGGTAAACTGGGGATTTTCTGAGTGGAATCTTGGATTGTCTTCTCAAAAAGTAGAATGAGGGCGCCTGGGTGGCTCAGTTGGTTAAGCGACTGCCTTCGGCTCAGGTCATGATCCTGGAGTCCCGGGATCGAGTCCCGCATCGGGCTCCCTGCTCGGCGGGGAGCCTGCTTCTCCCTCTGACCCTCCTCCCTCTCATGTTCTCTGTCTCTCATTCTCTCTCTCTCAAATAAATAAATAAAATCTTTAAAAAAAAAACAAAAAGTAGAATGAATTCTTTTTCAGTTCTACTTTTATTTTACTTCCCTATATAAATGAATGGATAAAGAATATGTGGTATATATACAATAATATTACTCAGCCATTAAAAAATAATGAAATATTGCCATTTGCAATGACATGGATGGAGCCTAGAGTATAATGCTAAGCTAAGTAAGTCATTTGGAGAAAGACAAATACCATATGATTTCATTCATGTGCGGAATTTAAGAAACAAAACAAATGAGCAGATAGAACAAAAAGGCAAACCAAGGAACAGATTCTTTTTTTTTTTAAGATTTATTTATTTAAAGAATTTTATTTTTTATTAGTTTTTCAAGATTTTATTTATTTGAGAGAGAATGAGAGACAGCACAAGAGGGAGGAGGGTCAGAGGGAGAAGCAGACTCCCTGCCGAGCAGGGAGCCCGATGCGGGGCTCAATCCTGGGACCCCAGGATCATGACCTGAGCTGAAGGCAGTTGCTTAACCAACTGAGCCACCCAGGTGCCCCCAAGGAACAGATTCTTAACTGTAGACAACAAACTGATGGTTACCAGAGGGGAGGAGGTGGGGTGATGGGTGAAATAGGTGATAGGGACTAAGGAGTGTACTTGTGATGAGCACTGGATGATAGGGAAGTGTTGAATTACCATATTGTACATCTGAACTAATATAACACTGTTAACTATACTGGAATTAAAATAAATTTAAAAGAACGTACTCAAGGAATTGAATGTGGCCATTATATTTTTTCTATTTCTATTTTTAGCATAAAAAGTTAAGTTCAGCAGTTGTTTTTGGAGGAGGAGATGCTAGGTTGATAACAGAAGAAAATGAAGAAGAAGAAAGTTTCTTTTCAGTCCCTGGAATTTGTGTTGTTGATGTAGGAATAACAAATTCACAGACTCTAATTCCTGACTCTCAGAAAAAATGGATTCACTCAATTATGGATAAACTCCAAAGGTACGAATTATCTTTATTAGTAAAAAAATAAAAAAGGCAATTTTGTCTGTAACTTTTTTATTGTACCAAATTAACAAGGTAAAGGATATACAAGAATTACATTTTATCGTGTAAACGTTGCTACTGAGATCATATTTGTATGTTTCCTGGTGGTACTTCTGCAAGGTTTTCTTTGAAGAATATTCTTAGGGTTAGAACTGCTGGGTTATAAGTTAAGTGAATACTCAACCTCTGGAGGTAGTATCAAATTGTTTGCCACTTCATACTCCCACCCACAGTATGTAAGAGATCAAGTAGATGCATATTGTTTTCAACACTTGGTATTGTTAGACTTTACCATATTTGCTAATTGAATGGATATATAATCCTATCCCGTGATTTTTGTTTCTATTTTTCTCATCACTAGTGATGCTTAACATTTCTTCTGATATTTATTGGACATCTGTTTTTCCTGTTCTGAAATACCTGCTCATGTCTTTTACCCAGTTTTCTAATTGTATTTTTTTATATGGATTTCCCAGTTTTTGAGTGAGTGTGTGTGTGTTCTATACAGTTTTATCACTTGGTACATATATTCACCACCTTAGTCAAGATACAGAACAGTTCCATCACCACAAGGATCCCTCCTGTTCTTTTATAACCACACCCACTTCCCTCCCTACCTTTCCCACCTCCCATTCCATGTCCCTAAATCCTGGAAAACCACTAATTTATTCTCCATTTCTAAAATTTTGTCTTTTAAAAACGTGTTGTATAAATGAAATCATAGCATATACACTTAAGGACTGGTTTTCTTATTCAGCACAATTTCTTGGAGATTCATCTAAGTTGTATCAATTGTTCATCCTTTTCAATTCCTGATCAGTATTGTGTATATATATATGTGTATACTGCAGTTTTTGAGTCATTCTTACATTTTTCCAATTTTTGTTACAAATAAAACCTCTATAAACATGCATGTACAAGTTTCTTTGTGAATGTAAGTTTTCATTTCTTTGGGATAGATGCCCAAGAGTGCAATTCCTGGATCATATGGTAATTATATATTTGTGTATTCTTTTTTATTTGTAGAAGTTCTTTCTCTTTCTCGATATTAATCCTTTTTTCACTTGTGTATATTGCAAAATCTTTTACCACTTCGTAATTAATGTATTACTGTGTGCTACATGAAAGTCCTTAATTTTAATATACTAAAAATTAACAACCTTTTCTTTCTTAGCAGTGATTTTTGTATTTTAAGAAATCTCTTTCTCTTCATAGATCAAAAAGATATTCACCTGTATTTTTTACTAATTTGTTGCTAGTGTTTTGATACTTTGTTTTTGAAATTTGCTTTTAATCTATTTGGAATTGATTCTGTTTTATACCAAAGTCCCATATATGCGTAGGAATGTTTTTGGCTTTTCTCTATTCCATTGGTCAAGATGTCCTTGTACCAATACCACATTTACCACATTGTCTTAATTACTGTGACTTCAATTAAGTTCTCATATCTGGTATGGCAAATGTCTCTGCTCTTCTTTAGAAGCATCCTGTCCATTCTTGGCTCTTTGTTTTTCCATATACATTTTAGAATCATCTTTTCAAAAACGCTGTTGGGATTTTGATTAGGAATTCCATTGAATTCACAAATCAATTTGGTGAGAATTTTTACAATTTCCCTATAAAGATCTTGAGTACCTTTTATTAGATTTATTCCTAGGTACTACATATTCTGTGGTAGATATGATATGTCAGATAGGTAGAATATAAATAGATAATATTCTCTCTTTAAGTACATTTTCTAGTTGTTTATTGCTGGTGTATATAAATACAGTAGACATTTAGATATTAATCTTATATCCTGCCACCTTGTTAGACTCCCCTTTTATTTCTAATGTATCTATAGTCCTTTTTGTTGTAAAAATCATATTATCTATAAATAATAATTCCTGTTTTTTTTAATCCTTATGCTTCTGATGCTTTTCCTTTTTCTCTCTTTCTGTTTTGTACCTACTGGGACGTGTAGAGCAGTGTTGTATAGAGGAAGTATTAGTAGCCACATTTATCTCACTGTTGACTAAAAGGATGTGTTTCCCCATTTAGGATGTTTCCCCATTTAGGATAATGTAATTACCTATATAACATTATTATTAATTATATATTAAAAATGTTTTTATTTTATGGAGCCAACGTTTCTAACTAATTTATGTAATATATTTACAGTTTCAAAAAAGTAAGATAATAAAACAATTCTGAATTGCCTGACTTATAAGTAGTTATATGTGATCACTTGATTATAATACTTTAAAAATATTCATATAGTACTATCATAATTGCACATATAATTGAGTTCTGTTACATTAACCCAGGACATACAAAAAACAAATGTTAAGCATTTGAAAAATACCTTTTAAACTACTTACCTTTTAACTAACTACCTTTAACTAAATACCTTTTAAGCCACTTAAAACATATTTGCAATAAATATTAAAAGGAGTTTTGTAGTTCTTAAAGTCTGAGGTATAGTTTTATAAAGCAATGTTATTAAATTGTCTTTGTTTCAGTCACATAATAGAAAACAGAATGTAGGTTCACTATAAGATTCCTTTAAGAAGATTCCTTAATGCATGTAAATTTGGTAAAATGATTTTATTTACTAAACTTAAAATTACAAAACGTGTAGATACAGCTTATGATATTTCTTTGTACTTCCTCCCTCCTTCCCTTTCTCCCCTCTTCTGTCTCTCTTTTAAGTTTTATCTCTGGATCCTAGTAATAGATGTGCTTATAAAAATTTGTTTTATTGTTTCATCTGGTATTACTGTTCTTATTCTGAAAATTACAGAATTTCAGAAATGGAATTTCTGACTCAGAGCTGTCTCCTTTAGGCCTTTATTTTACAGATGAGATGACTGAATTGCTAAAGGTGGTGGGCTTGCCCGATATAACATTGCCCCAGTTGAGTAAGCCAGTACTGTGTGTATTTGAAATTCTCTCCATACCATAAAATTGTGTTATCTCTTTGGAGAAGGAATAAAAAGATTCCACTTGACATCACATTAATAGAAGTTGTTAGTTTTAATATATTATCATGCTTAAACTATTTTGTTCTCATAGGCAGGGGCTTAGACTTATTCCTGAAGCAGAAATTGGACTGGCGGTCATTTTCATGACTACAGAGAATTACTGTGATCCTCAAGGCCAGCCCAGTACAGGTAATTAAAGCATTATTTTATTGGTTCTGTAGCAACTTTATGTGTAACTTGGTGATAGGCTGTATGCACATTACTTTGTACTTGTTAGGGATGACCATTTTCACCATCTCCTAAAACTCATCTGTTTACCATTTCATTTATTTATTTGATGAATATTTGTGGCTGCCATCTACTGCTGGGTACTGCTTCTAAAGAAGTGCTGAAGATACACTTAGTGAATAAAGTAAAACATTTTTAGGTATCTGTTACTGTGAACTTTATATTCTAAAGGTCAGGCTTCAAACAGTTAACAGGCAAACAGATATATCTGATCAGTTCAGTTAAAGTCAAGCACCAAGAAAAAGCTAAAACAAGACCTGAAATTCTCCTTGTGCAGCTTCTGCTCAGGAGGTCTGCTGCCATCCGTTCTCACAGCCACTGCCCCACTTCTTGAACTTTCCGTTGTCTTCCTTTCGTAAGGGCTGTTATAATTGCGCCCAGTAATGGTCCTGCCTCCATACTCATCTCTACAGTTAACATTTCACTTTGCCAGTAGAATCACCTTTTCTTAAAACTTTTTACTAGCTCATTATTTATAAAATAAAACCCTAAGCCCTTCATCTATAGAGTTCTGAGCCCTCAACAGTTTAGCCTTTCTCCTCCCATCTTTTTTTTTTTAATACATCTCTCTACAGTTTATATGTGCCATATTATTTATAATTTCCACACTCCTCGATCTTGCTCATCATGGCCCCTGTTCCAACACTGCTTTTCAAAATTTGACTCATTTGGCAGATGTTCACCTCCTTCATGAAGTTTTTCTATGTAGTTTTCTCTCCCATAACTCTCCTCCAAGTCAGAATTGTTCTGTTTTCTATTCCCCAGTAACTTTCTTTTGCATTCTAGCTAGACTTTCTTCCTACTTTGAAATATAACCAGTTGTTTCCATGCCTTTTCAGCCACTAAATTGGTTATAAGCTCTAATTAATTTTGGATTCCCTGACAGCACCAAGCACAGTACTTGTTTGTACTAGGTATGAATATTTGCTTAATTGAACTAAATTATTGGCACACAGGATTATCTTTGCCAGTGTGGAGCAACAATGTTTTATCATCCACTGTTGGAAATGTGTTCATGGCCAAAAGGGCCTTAGAGATCATCTAATCTGTCTTTCTGTTAAAAGGTAAGCGAGCTTGTAAGGCTGAGAACAGTTAAGATTCCATAAATAATTCATGGCCAAGCCAATCCTAAAATTTGGGTTTTCTGAACACTTAGACCAGTACCTTTTCTGTTGTATCATTTCATACAGAAACAGAGTCATAAGGAGTAAAAATCAACATTTTAATTAGTAGTGTTACTTCTTGCACATACTCATAGGTGGGTCTGTGTAGACTCCAAGTCCTAGACATCTGACTTATAAACAATTTTAGAATACAACCCTTTGGGAGGGAATAGAATAAATGCATGTGTCTCTCCCTCCCTTTCCCCCCTCCTTATTTTCTTCCATTCACGTTTGTTTATTTATGAATTCAAGCATTTATTGAACATCTGTTATATACCTGTAATTATTCTAAATACTTGGAATAAAGAGGTGAGCAAATCAAAGCCCTACCCCTGCAGTATTTTTAGCAAGGAGAACATTGTAAATCTTTTGTTGACAAACATCCCTTATTCTGGATCATTAGATTCAACTTATAGTTTCTTTTAGTGATAATATAAGCATTTGTAATTACTATTTTTTGCAAACTTCTGTGCAAGCTGAAATGAATTCTAGGGATATGCATGTTTAAGGAAATGACAGCTTCTATGGGGGTCATATAAGGGAAGTGGCAAGAATTTGGAATCAGTAATAAACATTTACTAAGCACATCCTATGTCATGAGGACCTAACAAGTGATGATTTAGCTTAGATACTTGGTAGATGTCAACGTTTTAAAATTTTCAGTTAATGATTTAATTCCATTAACTTATTTATATCTATAATGTTCCAAACATTGCTCAGGGACTGCAGATTTAGAAGTGAACAACAACCAGTTCCTATTCTCAAGGAGATTCTAAGTCTAATAAGGGAACATAACAAGTAAACAAGTATAGTGTAAAGTGATGATGATGATAACAGCTAATATTTGCATTGTACTTATTGTGTTCCAAGCATTTTTCTAAGTGCTATCCATGTATCAGTTCATTTTGTCCTCAAAACAAAATGGTCCTGATTTAATGGATGAGGAAACTAAGGCACAGAGATGTTAAATAACACATACAGCTAATGATTAGTGTGTTAAAAGTTAGCAGAGTGATGTAAAGGGTGGTATGGAAGCTGAAATGAAGGATACCCCATTCAATGTGGGAGATTCAAGGAATGTATGCCAGAAGAGTGACACTTGAATTAAGTTGCTATTCTAGTAAATTAAAAGATGAAGTAATCATGGTTTTCTGGAGTGGCCACAAAATTTATGCCTAAAGCTATTTATGTCTTCTTTTCAAATAGTATTCCTTCAGAAGGTGAAACTCACATTAATTTTGATTTATGTCAGCAGTGGAGTTGATTTTCTGCAGGGAAGAAATGCAATTTTTTTGTCTCCTAATTTAAACCATAAATTGAATTATAACTTAAGTTGATTTTATTTTTAAATTGGTAATACTTCACAAAAGATTTGATGTAGCTTTAAAATGATTTGATTTAGATGAGCCCATTACAGATGCCAGCAGGCTGCTTTTAGGCTATTTCATTAAATGTTTGTTGGTTCCACTGAGTGAAGATAACTGTGTTCAATGTTGCCTACTTAATTCCCTCAGCATGGCATGGTCTAGCCATTTTAAGTGACAAAATGTCCATCTTGTGTCTAGCAGTTGTGATTCTTCCCTTCACTTGTGTGATTTACAGCATTGAAGATGACTCCAGGGCCAAGCCTTTCCCAAGGCTTATCATTCAATGAAAAGCTAATGCCAAGTGCCCCCGTGAATACCACAACATATGTAGCTGACACGGAATCAGAGCAAGCAGATACATGGTAAAGCTTCATTGTTGACAAACTATTGTTATTCTATCAATAAATAGTATAATCAAGAAGTAAAGTCGTGTCTTTATCAGATCAACTCTTAGGAGATAAAGCATGGGAGAATGGGATGCCAGGGAAAATAATATATTAGGTTAAGGATTAGTAAACTTTCCATAAAAGACCAGTAAATATTTTTGGCTTTGTGAGTCATTGATCTCTGTCCCAGCTACTCAACTTTGCCATTGTAGCATGAAAGCAGCCATAGACAGCATGTAAATGAATGTGTGTGGCTTTGTTCCAATAAAATTTAATTTATGAAAACAAGTGGCAAGCCAGATTTGGCCTGTAAGCCATAGTTTGCTAACCCCCGTCTTATGGTAAAGTCTTTTTGTTGTTGTTCCTTACAAATGTACATGGAAAACTGTAAAGAATTACATTACTTTATTTGTGACTGTTGAAACAAGTTCGAAATAAATTTGTACTATAATGTTTCCTTCATCTGAATATTATTTTAACTTTGGAGATACTTTCTGTGTGTCTACCTGGCTATCTAAATAATTAATATCTTTATAAAGATAGTTTTCTAGTGGTTCTCTATTTGAAGAGGTTTTTGTTGTTCTTTGGGGGGGGGTTTGAGCAAGGGTAGATCATTTGTATTCTGTGGTATTTTTCATTTAAGAGAGTGTATTGTATTTTAAATAATACATAATGAATTACTGATATTGAAAAATACTTGTGATATCACTGTATTAGATCACATTTAAAATTTTAATACATCCTTTTTTTTATACTAAGGCTAGATGTAAGTTTTTAAAGAAACTATTAATGTTTTGAAAGTCATGTGTATGACCACTTGTTTTTTGTGCAATAAGAATATTAAAGGCAGTTTATTTAACCATACATTGTGAAACTGTGTGTGTGTTTTAAATATTTTTCTGGTAGTATAGAGTTATACTGTATTCTAGGGACTGCCATCTGGCTGAAATGTAACCATATCAATTCATCTGAATCTAAATTCATCTCATTTAGATCTAAATGGGATCTAAATATGTCATTATGATGCTGGAATTATAGGAGATTGTTGTTTTTCTGATCTTCCTTTTTTAATTAATTTTTTGCCTGAAAATAATTCTAAAATTTTAAACAAAGCAAAAATTATCTAAGATTATCACCTACTTTAATTTATAATAGAATACTAGGTTGATATTCCATGTTTGTATGACAGTTTGTTATAGTAGAGTATGCTAGACATTGTGTGCTATAGGGAATGAAGAAGAGAAAGTTATCATTTGTCTTTAGGGAACTTTGATGAAAAAGGAGCAACTTTTTTGGAATAGTGAAATATATTCCCTTAATTATTGTCTAAAGATAATTATGTTCTAAAGCTGTATCACATTAGTACTATTTAGAAGACTTTTTTTTCTAGATAAAAATTGCTATAAATCTGATTGTTTATGTTGTATTCTTTTCTTTTGTTACAGTATGGATTTTAGTGAAAAACCTAAAGAAATCAAAATCTCCAGAGTGGAACAAAAATTCAGAATGCCTTCACAAGAAACATCCACTGTGAAGGAACCCCCCAAAATAAGCTCTAATGATAAAAATGCAGTATCAAATACTCTGGAAAGGATGAAAATCCCAGCCTATCAGCTTTCACCAACTAAATTCTCAGGTGTAAATAAAAGTAGAGATCAGCCTTCTCAGAAGCTGCAGACCAGCTCCATCAAAAACTACTTTCAGCCTTCTACCAAAAAAAGGTATATTTTTAAATAATACCTCTCTGTGTCTCTGAAAAATATTAATAGAATGGCATTTAGTCTGTGTTCTGCTTGAATATGCTTCTGTAGAAAACTGACCCTTTGACCTCATTCCCTCTCAAAAATGTCCGTATCTCCTTCTTCACTAAGGTCATTATGGATAGATTCTCCCTCATCCCTTTTTTTTGTGGGTACCTTAAGCTTATCTGTTGTTTCACTTTTCTGCACTCCTTTTGAAGAAGTCTGTCCAGTACCCTGATAGTAGATTAGTATTATTAAAATACCACCTTGACTATTCCAGTTTAACATGAATTTGGTAAACTTATAGGAAGCAGAGATCCATATTTTTATGTTCTCTGTGGACCTTAGTGCAATTTAAATGAATAAAGTACTTATCCAGTACTTAATTAATGAAACAGTAGTGTACAGAAAACTCTTAGTCATATATTCACATATTATTTGCAATTTATAGTCTGTACTGTATTCTCGATTTAGCCACTCTGACTTATTATCTTGAATCTAGCTCTCACTAACCCATCAGGTTTTATTCCAAAGGTAATTTTTCCCTTCCTACAAGTTCCCTACATTGTAAGGTAAGCTATTGTTCCTGGCAACAAGTGCTTTGTATTTTTATATCTTTCTACCTTTTCCTCTGCATTGACTTATCAGCTACTGCTGCCTTAGCAGAGAAGATTAACCTCTCCCTATTGTTTTAGCCATTGGGTTGACAGTCCTACGAAAACAGTGTCCATATGAATTGTGCTTTTTTTCAGATGTCCCATTTTTTTATTTCCAGTGATATTAATTAATAAAATTAAGAATGTTGTGAATTAAATGGGGGAATGAATATTGCCAAACCAAAAAATTACTTAGCTGTGTTCATTTTCTGTTTTTGCTTTCTTCTCTCCTTTTTTAAATCTAAGGGAAAGAGATGACGAAAATCAAGAAATTTCTTCACCCAAATCAGCAAGAGTAGAAATGTCTTGTTCTCTTTTGGAACAAACACAACCTTCTACACCCTCAGTATGGAAAAATAAGGAGGAGCATCTATCTCAGAATAAGCCTGTGGAAAAGAAACCAGATAATTTACTTACAGATAGAGATTTAAAATCCACTGTGAAAAATTTTGCCAGTGAATCTCTTCCTACAGAAAAACTAAGATCAGAAAAAAGAAAAGAAACTGATGACTTAGCCATAGAAGATGAAGTATTAGATCAGTTATTTAAGAACACAAAACCAGAGTTAGAAATTGGAGTGAAAGTTCAAAAACAAGAGGAAGATGTCAATGTTAGAAAAAGGCCAAGATTGGATGTAGAAACAAATGGCACTTTTAATGATGAAGCAATTTTGGAAAGTAACAGAATATCTGTAAGTAACATTTTTTAATGAGAAGTACTACAAATAGAAACTTAGAATGGTAAAAAGAAACTTGTGATAGTATAAGCATTCACTCTATTTCCTTGAGGAAAAAGTTAGTATCTTCAAAACCCGGTATTAAGTATAAGAATTTGTTGGTTGATAAGGTAAATATTAAAAATACAGTGTTTCTCTGATAGTATATAATAAATGACAGCAAATAAAACTGTTATTCATGATTATTTTAATAGATTTCCAGGCTGTACTATTACTATACTACTATATCAGACCTTTGGCCTTGATGATAGGTAGAGGAGATGACTTAATAGAGGAAACAGACACAGAAAAATGAAGAAAGTTAGTAAACTACTAAATAAATTTTTAGATAAAATAGTTATAACATCACTAAGGATTTTTATTTTCATTTTGATCTTTAATATCCTATCCTATTTTCCTGAATGTTGATAATTTGTCTTACCACTTCAGATTATTTCCAATTATATGTGTAAGTAAGTTGCCTACTATCTGTAGAATAGTTAGAGGTCATTAGGTGAGAGCACTGACCACATGAAGTTAAAAGGTAATATTCTGATCTTTCATATAGGACCGTTAGCTCCAATCTCACTCATGGTTGTGGTCATCCCTTCCTATAAATGGCTACTGCATAAGGATAGGACTAAGTAAAAGGATAAGGATTAAGTGATTGGAAGGTACAGTGACTCAGTAGGTATTTGTTGAGAACCTAGTGTGTATCAAGCACTATAAATCTGTAACTACTGTTGAAAAAACAAGAGTATATGTCCTGTGTAGTCAAAATATTGGCATCTTCATATGAAGGAGAGAATCCTCATTATTTCTTTTGAGTGAATCCTAAATGCCCTTCTGTGGACCAGCTGTGTCATAATTAGCTGGTGAGCTTTTTTAAAAGTAGGGATACCCAGACCAAAACCCCAGAAGATCCTGATGGAATACATCCAGTTTTTTTTCCCAAAAAAAGTTTCCTCATTTTATGAGTTAAGAATTCCTTTTGCTGTCTTTAAAAATTCTAAAATCAGGTGCCTGGGTGGCTCAGTCGTTAAGTGTCTGCCTTCGGCTCCCGTCATGGTCCCAGGGTCCTGGGATCAAGCCCCGCATCGAGCCCTACACTGGGCTCCCTGCTCAGCAGGAAGACTGCTTCTCCCTCTCACACTCCTGCTTGTGACCCCTCTCTCACTGTCTCTCTGTCAAATAAATAAAATCTTAAAAAAAAAAAAAAAAGAATCTTATCCAGCAACAGGACGGAATCTTCAGGCTGATTTAATAACAATTAACCTGTGATTAAAAAGTGGCTTTCAGTTAGGTCGTATATCCAGAATTAATAATTTTTTGGAGGTGTCAAAATAATAAAATTACTGAAAATCCAAGAAAGCTTAAACATATTAGATGAGAACTTGTAGAACAGATTGTTGTAATAATGTTAGTTATGGTTTTAATGAAAAGAAGTAAACAATACTGAGATTTCTTGCTAAGAAAATACATACAAGAAGATAAATTATTAATTGAGATATTTATTAGAATAAACTACTAAATTAAAATGCTATGTGCTTTTAGTCTCCTGGCATAGATGTTACAAATGTTTCTAAGGTTGTGGAGTATTTGAGTAATTTTCTCGTTTGAAGTAGATATGATTTGATTCCAAATACAAAGTTTGGGTGCCAGAAATAAACCTTTTTTTACAATTTTTTTCAGGTATTTGAACTTTTTTCTATAGCTTCCCAAATGACAAGTAATTTTCTTTTTCCTTATTTTTTTCTGCTTATGTATCCATCTTAACCCCATTTAAGATCAAAGATGAACTTCAGGAGGATGATGATATGCTTCCAAGAAAGGTGTTACTAACTGAATTTAGATCACTGGTGGTTAGTAACTCTGCCTCCAGAAATGCATCCAGGGTAAATAGTGATTATGGTCAACTAAAGAATTTCAAGAAATTCAAAAAGGTATGGTATTCCTTTAACTAAAATATCACAAGAGGGCAGTGTTTGAAATGTTTTTAGAAATACCACTGATGCTAAATAGTAAAAGCCGTTCATACTGAAAACTGATGTTATTTTTTCTGCTTAAAACAGTTAAAATTACTCTAGGAAGGACATGAACTGACAGGTAATATATGAATAAATGTATGATGAATATATAATGAATACTTGGAAACAAACTTCTTTAAGACTGAATTCCTTAAAGGGTGCTGTTTACCCTTGTCTTCTCCACCTTGAGCGGCAGGCTTTGGGTTATATTGATAGGGTCTTTTACCTCTAATAATCATCTATGTCTACCTGAAGGGGTTCTTTAGCTCAGGACTTTATGAAGATAATAGATTTGTGGAAAATAGCTGAGCACATTAAATAATGAAAAGTAGGCACTTTACTATTACATGTACATATAAAAAATATAAATATGTACCCTAAATAATATCATCAGACCTGAGTTTCTTCTCCTCTAGGAACTGGTAAGATGTTTAATTTATCAGTATGGTTAAAAGAATATTTCTGATCTAGTCTGTATTCTTTTGTTGTCTTTCCTGGAATATTTGCTTCTTATTCCATGTCTATAACTGACTGCCACCTTTTGCTTAAACATTTAATCAGAATACAGGTGATTTCTGTGGAATACTCCTTTTCACTAGAATATGATGTGTATGATTCTTGCTATACTATGAGGTGTTGTAGCTTTTTCTCTCTAATGTGAGCTACTGTTAACATTTGTCAGTTAATTTTTTGCCTACTATGACAATGTGTAAAAGGTTCTAAACTCCGTTTCTTGTACTTAGATGGAAATATCTCCCACTTAGATGGTACCCACTTTCTCCTTTCCATCCCACAGGTGTGGCTCATGAATACCACAGGATCATTCTTAACTGTATGGTTACTTCATGTTCAGTATCATGTTACCAAGTCTCATTGTTAAATCAAAATTCAAAAGACATTGTATTTTTTTGTTATTAATGAAGTTACCAAAGATTAAAGTAGTAATACTCACTGTTGACCCAGGCATGGTGAAGTATAGAGTAGTACAAACTTCGGGAAAGTAGTTTGGAAAACTTTTAAACTCTTAAAAATATTAATATCTTTGACTACGGAATTTTTTTGAGACTGTAAAAGAAATTCAAACCAAAATTTTTATAGGAGGATGATTTAACTAGATTGGCTCTAATGAAAGAATTTGTGTTTTTCTTTTTATGCCCAAATCCAATGACATGGCTCTATTTGTGCTTTTTAAAATAGTGTTTAATGATGAAAACTATTTTAGAATTCCCTTTCCAGGGCACCTGGGTGGCTCAGTTGGTTAAGTGTCTACCTTCCGCTCAGGTCATGATTCCAAGGGTCCTGGGATCTAGCCTCACACTGGGCTCCCTCTGTCCCTCCCCCTGCTTGTGTGTGGGTGCGCTCGCTCGCTCTCTCTCTAATATTAACTTAAGTTAAAAATCTTAAAATAAAATTCCCTTTCCACTTCATATATTGAAATTCTGAAGGTATGTCCCATAGATATTAAGGATTTATTATTTCCTAAATACAGTATTAGCAGTGTGCTTCATTTGCATTTTCACAATATTTTTAGCACCTCTTTATTTAAAATAAGCCATTAAAATTTTAATTAAAAATATGAATTGTTGCCATCTCCAATATCTTTTGCTAGAGATCTATAAATTAGAAAGTTTTGAAGATGTAAATTTTCATGAGTACTAGACAAGGCTTAAACTTCGAAATCTTTAGAACAAAATATGATACTTTGTAGTCTCTATATTCACCTTAAGTCGCTTTTAACTGCTAAATGATGAGCTAAGGCCATTTTTTAATAAAAATTCCCGATTAAGAATCTTAATTAAATTCTTGGTACATAAATCCCAGTGACATCTAAATCTGGGTATAGCAATAACCAAAAAATATAGGGCAAAAACATGGGTCTAGCATAGTTAACTTCTCTCTCACTCACTTTCAGTTGTAGGATATAAACATATTTGGCACTTACGTTACACATGATTTATACTGTGCTTTCCTATTAAACTTTTTAAAAAATAATGGTTTTGAGGGTGCCTGGGTGGCTTAGTTGGTTAGGCGTCTGACTCTTGATTTCAACTCAGGCCATGATCTCAGGGTTGTGAGATTGAGCTCTGCGTTGGATTCTGCCTTGGTGGCAAGTCTGCTTGAGATTCTCTCTCTCCCTCTCCCCCTGCGACCCCCCACCCCTTGTTCACACACACTCTCTCTCAAAAAAAAAAAAAGAAAAAAAATGAGATGGTCTTAATTTGTTAATGCATTTAACCTTACTATTTTTACTATATAACAGGTCACATTTCTTGGAGCAGGAAAACTTCCACATATCATTGGAGGATCAGATCTAATAGCTCATCGTGCTCAGAAGAATACAGAATTAGAAGAATGGTTAAGGCAGGAAATGGAGGTTAGTAGGGAAGGCCTGGTAATTTGCTTGGTTTACATTTTGGTCCCTCATGGTTTCCTTAGAGCAAATCCTTAAAACCAAATGTTAAGATAATTGACCTAAGGTCATTCATTCAGGAAGATTCCTAAGCTATAGAGCATTAAGATTAATTTGTACCTTTCCATAATGCTTCTTTAAGAGACTTTTAGACTTATTAGTTAAAAAAACAAATGAATTGGGGCGCCTGGGTGGCTCAGTTGTTAAGCATCTGCCTTCGGCTCAGTCATGATCCCAGGGTCCTGGGATCGAGCCCCGCATCGGGCTCCCTGCTCCGCGGGAAGCCTGCTTCTCCCTCTCCCACTCCCCCTGCTTGTCTTCCCTCTCTTGCTGTGTCTCTCTCTGTCAAATAAATAAAATCTTTAAAAAACAAAAAACAAACGAATTAAGTTTATATCCTAATGTAAAGGGGAGAAAAGAGACTTAACCTACAAAAATGTAAAAGAAAGCTAAAGGATAACAATTAAAATTAGAAAGTTGTACAGTCATATGGGTGTTATTGCAAATAATACCAGTTACATAATATATGAATGTACTGGGTTTTAGATCTGGAAATTATCTTTCAGTGGTTCTGAAAATTTCTCAGTCATTATTTTATTGAGTTATTACCCCTTTTCCTATTATATCTTTTTTCCCCTATGTTTAACGTTTTAAAGAACTGCCATACTGTTTTCCAAAGTAACTGCACCATTTTACATTCCCACTGATAGTGCACAAGAGTTCCAGTTTCTCCATATCCTCTCCAACACTTGTTATTCTCTTGTTTTTGATAATGGGCATCTAACTGGTCTGAACGTTACTGTGGTTTTGATTTGCACTTTCCTAATGATTAGTGAGGTTATGCATCTTCTCATATGCTTGTTGGCCATTTGTATATCTTTTTTGGAGAAATATCTATTCAAAAATCTCTTCCCATTATTAATCAGATTGTTTATTTTTTGTTGTTGAATGAGAGGTGCTCTTTATGTAGTCTGGATAATAGTCCCTCATCAGATGTATGATTTGCACATTTTTTCTCCCTTTCTCTGGGTTGCCTTTCACTCTGTTGTTTGTGTATTTTGATGCACAGGAATTTAAAATTTTGATGTAGTTCAGTTTATCAGTTTTGTTGTTGATACCTGTGCTTTTGGCCTCATATCCAAAAAATCTGCCTGATCCAGTGTCAGAAAGTTTTTCCCTTTTTTCTTCTAAGAGTTTTATAGTTTTAGCTCTTATATGTAGATCTTGAATTGATTTTGAGTTAATTTTCATAGGTGTTATAGGGTTAGAGTTTGACTTCATTCTCTGTGGCATACTTTTATACTTTGGTTTAATGATGCGTGAGCACACCATCTTGAAGGTGAGGGAGGGAGTTCTTAGGTCAGTTATGCTATTGACAATTGCTTGCTGTGGGAAACTCGCCTTAATGCTTCCTCCCATGGGCAATTGTTACTGATCTCATTTTTCCCCAGAGTCTTTCTGTGTAGTTCAAAGTCTTAAACTTTCTATTATGAGAACTTTTCAAATATACACAAAGGGAGCGTGAAACAAACCCAAAACACAGCTTCAACAAATACCAGTATTTGCACATCTTGCTTCATCTCTTCTCTTTCCCAACTTTTTTTTTTTCCTCTGGAGTATTTTATTTTATTTTTATTTATTTATTTTTTAAAGATTTTATTTATTTGCGAGAGAGACAATGAGAGAGAGCATGAGAGGGAGGAGGGTCAGAGGGAGAAGCAGACTCCCTGCCGAGCAGGGAGCCCGATGCGGGACTTGATCCTGGGACTCCAGGATCATGACCTGAGCCGAAGGCAGTCGCTTAACCAACTGAGCCACCCAGGCGCTCCTCCCCTGGAGTATTTTAAAGCAAATCCCAGTCATTTTATCATTTCATTTGTATTTATATGTTCAAACATATACAGATTTCTGATCAAATATGTGTTATGTCAGAGTATGCTTTTCTATGTACTTTCACAGTAGGATACTTACATAATCAGTTCATATTGTTTTAAATCCTAGATTAGGACCAGCAGCATAATTTTGACACTTGAAATTGCTTTAGAGTTTTATAATTTTGCATACTTTATGGCATGTCTTTGATCATATCTATAAGTAATATGTTGCCTAACTCTCAGGAAACCAAACCTCACTTATAACATTGTTCTTCTGGGAAGATGTGAACTGCTTTACAGCTCTCTGTTAGACTGTGATTTTCAAGAATTCATTGTTTACATGTATCAACTATATATATTTATATACTCTGTAATGAGAACTCACAAGTAAGATTATGAAAATATGCTTCTCTTTTTTTTACTTCCTTCCTGGGTATTTTGAGTCTAGTGGATATTATGTAAAACAACCATATACCTGATTCATAATTCTTTCTACCCCTTACTTATTTTTAACTGGAGAATTTAATAAAATTCAATAAAGTGGCAACTTTTTGCTCTAGAGGAAGTTACTGGATGGAAGTTAAGATTTCAGAAACACATGACTATTGAATTGAGAGATAACCAGAGGTCTCTTCCAAGGTTAGACAGTTTTCTTCTTAGCCTTTATATTGCCTGATTATCTAGTGCTCCTGGAACCCAAAGGTGGGCTCCAGATAGGTCCTCTTAGCAGGCTATTTGAAGTAGGGCCATTTGGTAATTATGGGTAGGGATATTATCTCTTTCTTAAACTCCAATTTGACAGAAGTCAAATTTCGCTTTCTTCTCTATCTTATTTTCTATATATTTCATCTCTTTTTTTCTCTGGATTGTATTTTTTGGCAACTTCTCCAGATTATCTTCCAGTCTGGTCCTTTTCCTTTCCACTCTGTCTGGTTGGTATTCCCACCTATCCACTGAGTTTTCATTCAGCCTATTGTATTTTTTCATTTCTGGTTGTCTGTTTCATTCAGCTCTAGGTCTTATTGTTCCCTGCTGATATTTTTAAGCTCTTCTTGTATTCTTTGCCTAAAGTGTTTGTTGATATGTTTCTGCTACTCTTCTCTTATGGAGCCTTGTTTCCAAGTATATATTTTGTGGTAGTTGAATGTGAACTGCTCATTTTCCTTGGAATTTGATCTGTGGGAATTCCTTGAGTCCTAAGTTCAAGTTTATTTCCTCTAGAAAAGATTTGTTTGTGTCTGCCAGTCTTGTTCTACCAATATGAGACCCACTTTATCCTCCACTTGTGATTTTTTTGGATCACCTAGGTAGTTAATACGTATTTGGACTAGAAGCCTGAGTGAAGGCCAGCTTGTCACAAACTCAGAGTTTTTTTTTTTTTCCTTCACCCTGTGTTAGGGTTGAGAGGCAGGCAAGTTTCTTTCTTGCCTTCTTTTTGTGTTGTACAGTTTATTCCACTTTCTCTCTTTAATGCTGGAGTCTTTTCTTAGATTCCCCATCTTTGATTTTCTTTCATGTTGCTCATCCCCCATACAGACATCAAAGCAGAGCCCAGTTTTTTTTATGCTTTGCAGAAACCCACAGGGCAAGGCAAAAGCTGACCATGGTACTTGTTAACTTCTCAGGGTTTTTATTTTGCTTCATTGTGGGTTAATGTAGTCTTCAGCAATTTGTGTTTAAAAATGCTTTTTAATCAAAAAATTGTTAGGAGGGTTGCCAAAAAGTAGGGTTGGTAAGGTCACTCAGGATATTTAGTGTCAAAAAATGAAAGAATGGAAGTCACATCCTTTCCTCCTTTCTTTTTTAAAGAATAAATGGCCTTATTTAAAATGTGCATTTCAAAGAATTGTGGTACTACACAAGAGAATGACGAAGTTAAAATCCTGAAGTCCAGGAATTACCCATTTAAATATGAAGTGAATTATTCCAGATATCTCTTTATTGAAGAGGAATAATTGCCAGAGTGGGAAGAGAGAGCGAGAGATTGATAGAAGGAAGTAAAGCTGAAAGCATTGCTGAATTTTTGCAAATATTTCTTAAGGTGTTTTATTTACTCAGTTTCCTCTAAGACCAAGGGTGATATATATGACCAAAAAAAACCCAAAACAAAACAAAACTACTGTCAGGTTAGAATCAGTATTTGTTTCATACTGCCTATTTTGATTTTAGATATGGTTTTTGGGTCACTGCTGTAAACAGTGAAGAAATTATTTGTACTTCCTCTGTTCCCCCGCCCCCACCACCCCACCCCACCATCTTATGACAGTCCTTTCTTTTTCTCCCTTTTTAAAAGGTGACTTGCATGCCTGCCCCATTCCTTCTTAGGCTTGCAAGTCAGTAACGATGAGAATATGTCTCAGTGTTGATCAATTTTCCATTCATTTTTCTTGGAATACAGTATGTTATTTTGATTTGCAGATGCAGGTCTTTTTATTTCAAGGAACTCTTCTAATACATCTTGGAAAGCATTTTTATATTTGTTGGGTTCTCTATGTTTAAGACATTACTATCCTTTTATTAGATCACCTTTGCCTTCCACATCCATTTCTTCTGCATTCACTGTGGTTTTCCTGAGCTCTTTCACTATGTCAGAAATTCAAATGTATTCTGTTCCTTATCAGCTATGTGATCTTGGGCAAATTACTTTCTCATGCATGCATTTCTTCCTGTGTAGAATGGGAACAATAATTATACCTCTGTTTCACAGAATTTTTGTGAGGATTAAGTAAGATGCTACTTGTAAAGCATTTATAACAGTGTAAACAGTCACTATTAGGTATTTCCAGTTTATTTGATTCTGAAATGGTGTTATTAATAGGTCTTAGTTTACTTAGCATTTGTTCCCTTTTCATTGTCATTGTGGTTTTTGTCATCTAACTTTTTGGTTTTTATTTTATTGCTTTCATGTTCTTAGTAACTTCATTTTTTTATCCTTGGGTTATTTCTTACGGACTAGGTTCTTCATCTGTCTTGCATGTTCTGTTCCAGTTGCTGCCCTTTTTTTCCCCTTTAGTATGTGGAGTAGTTTGCAGTTTTCTTTCATCTTGCAGCTGTTTAGAATAAAATACCCTGTCCAGGTACTCTGTTTGCTTTGTGAAGCATCATACGCTATCTTGTGCAGGGATTACAATCTAAATACAGCTTGTGCAACTGATTAATTATTGAAGTCTACATCTGAAACTAATGATGTATTATATGTTGGCTAATTGAATTTAAAAAAACCCCAGATGAATGGATAAAGAAGATATGGTATATATACATAATGGAATATTACTCAGCCATTAAAGAATGAAATCTTGCCATTTGCAATGACATGGATATAGCTAGAGTGTATTATGCTAAGCAGAATAAGTCAGAGAAAGACACATACCATATGATTTCACTCATGTGGAATTTAAGAAACAAAATAGATGGGGGCGCCTAGGTGGCTCAGTTGGTTAAGCAACTGCCTTCAGTTCAGGTCATGATCCTGGAGTCCCGGGATCGAGTCCCGCATCAGGCTCCCTGCTCGGCGGGGAGTCTGCTTCTCCCTCTGACCCTCCTCCCTCTCGTGCTCTCTGTCTCTCATTCTCTCTGTCTCAAATAAAATACAATCTTAAAAAAAAAAGATGAACATAGGGGAAAGGAAGGAAAAATAAGATAAATAGAGAGGGAGGGAAACCAGAAGAGACTTAATTATAGGACACAAACTGAGGGTTGCTGGAGGGGAGCTGGTGGGGGGGGGGATGGGGTCATTGGGTGATGGGCATTGAGGAGGAAGTCATGAGCACTGGGTGTTACATGCAACTGATGAATCACTAAACTCTACCTCTGAAACTAACAATACACTATATATTAACTAAGTTGAATTTAAATAAAAAATTTAAAAAAAATAAAGACAGTTTGTGAGGCAAAAGTGAATGTAGTCAAAATTACTCCTACCCAAGCTCTTAGTGTTCTGGTAGAGAACAGAATTATCCTGGTGGCTCCATTCCATTAATATGGCAACATGCTCAATCAGAGGTGAATTGCATGTTCCATCTAATTTCTGTTGTCTGAAGACTTTAAATCCAGGAAAGGAAGGGCTTAGCTGGAGCTATGTGCTGCTCCTTCCTGGAACTGGAATTAAATGTGTACCAGGGGGGTGCATCTTATCCCAGAAGAGAACAACCTGTCATTTTAGGTTGTTTACCTAATTTGTCAGGGCTGCATGGGGCCTGTGCCTTTGGTCAGTGTCAATACCACTCACTTCCCTGTGCCATTTGTCCTTTTCCAGTAGTCTACCAGCAGTGTTTTTCTGCTCAGGCTACTTTTTCCCCAAATTTGGAGTATTACTAAGCATTCTCAGGTTTGGGTTTAGTTTGTTTAATGGGTTAGGGCAGTGTTCAGAACATGTTGCAGCAATCTTTTGGTTCTCTGCAGGCTACTTTTCTCAAGTCTGTGGCTTCTTGATTATCCTAGGTTTTGTTGGTGTTTGGCTAGAGAGGAGTTGAGAGAATGACAGTGTAGCTGTTGACTTTTTTCTGTCTTTTGTTTATTTGATTAGAATTAGAAAAGAGCCCATGTTTAAGATTTATTCCACCAAATCTCTCTTTTTGCTAGAGCAATTTTAGGTGCACTATGTTGGATTTACTCTTTAAGATAATAGAGTTGACTTTCTCATGCGCTTACAGTGCCTGTATATAAGTATGCTACTGCCTTGATGTCCTATTTCCCTAGGCCTGTCCCAGCTGCTCTTCTTAAGTATTTTTTGCCTTTCATTCTTTTTCCGTTTTTCTTTCTCTACTGCTGCTGCAGACTCTTTGTTTTCATAATCACTAAATCCATTCCTGAAGTTTCCTTAGATTTAGGATATTTTCATTTTGTGCATTAAACATAATAACTCTTTGAGACACTATCCAACCTGATTTGAATTTTGATAGACTAGATATGTAACTCTCTCCAACCCTTAAAAAATGCCAGTAATGTGAGGATTTCTATTTCTTAAAACTATTTTACTTAATGTTTTTACTAAGACACATAAAAACTGATTTTTCTTTACTATAACTTTAAAATTAACAACCCCTGCTGGGAAGCATTTCAAAATAATTACAATAATAATACCAACTGCTTTTGACAGCTGCTTTATGAAAATCATTGTCTTCCCATTTATGTTCTGCTATACCTATTAGAAAATGTGGAAAGATGTAATGTCATTTTGATATTTCACCGTGTGAGTAGAAAATCATTCTGGAAGAATCCCTGCAAGTCATTCTTCTCAGCCCTTTCCAAAGACTCAGAATCGGTGTAATAGCCTAGTTAAGACCTGGTGGTGCTCTTTGTACTCAGCAAGACCTGGTCAAATCCCAGTTCTTCCATATGACAACCTTTTCATCTTCTGCAAGTTACTTAACCTAAGTCTTAGCTTCCTTGTTGGTTAAAACTGGGATAATAGGGGGCGCCTGGGTGGCTCAGTCGTTAAGCATCTGCCTTCGGCTCAGGTCATGATCCCAGGGTCCTGGGATCAAGCCCTGCGTCGGGCTCCCTACTCAGCAGTCTGCTTCTCCCTCCCTCTACTGTTCCCCCTGCTTGTGCTCACTCTCCCTCTCTCAAAATAAATAAATAATAAAATCTTTAAAAAACAAAACAAAACTGGGATAATAGTCTAATAGTAATAATGAAGTTATATGAAGATTAAATGAGATATTTTTAGAAGGAGTTTTAAGATAGTATCTGGAAATACACAATGTAAGTTATTAACAGTAAAAATAAAGAGTATGTACATTCAAGGAGCTTATGGTCTTTTAGCAAAGATAAGATACAGAATTATAACAGGGAAATCAATAGGCATCTATGAGTTGTATAGCTGAAGTTTTATGGGAGTTCTTCATAGCAGACATTATTTTTATATTTTTAAATGAAGAGAATTGAAAAACCATTGGTAAAGAAGTGAAGAACATGTTCCTGGACACGTAGTAGGCACTAAATTATTATTGAAATGAATGCACACTGAAAGATTGTCAGAGATGGGAAGAGGAGAAACAGGAGGTCATTTTCCGGGCAGAGGGGAAAACATGAACACAAGCAGAGGGACACAGGATATTTGTTAAGAGGTGAGTCTGGTTGGTTGATTTGTGATTCAGTTTTAACTGGCATACAGTGATTGTGAAGAGGGGCGTGAGAAGTGATTGAGAATGTAGAATGGAGCCAGGTTATGAAGAGCCTTTCCCATGTTGGGGGTCAAACTCAAGAGTTTGTGTTTTCTTTGGTAGGTAAAAAAAAAAAAAAAGTCATTGAAGGGTTTTGAATGGCATATGATAGGATCTAGACTTTAGAAAGATGGACCCAGCATGGAGTTTTTCTGGGGTTCACTCTTAGAGGTGCATTAGGAGTTTGATGAGTTTGTGTTTAAAATTACTTTGTCAGTGAAGTAGTTAAACAGCAGCTTCAGAGCCCTGACTTGGGACACTGGGGGAGAGAACCACTTCACCCACAGAGTTGCTCTAGTTGAAAGTGAGATAGATTTTGCCCTCAGCCCCTTCATCAGTCCTATGACCTCAAAACAGTGATATTTCTTCTTTCTTCAGGAAAAAATATTCAAAAACTCAGCAAGCTAGCAGTATATACATATGTTGGTTGCTTTTGATGGAGAGGGGATTAGCTGGAGAAAGTTAATTAGAGAACTTTTGCAGTAATCTTGGCATGAAGTGAAAATGGAGAGGATTTGGTGAATGAGGGAAATACTGTAGAGGCAAGAACTCATAGACCTGGTGATTTCCTCAATGTGGAAATATCCGAGATGACTGACCACCCAGTATAGCACTTGATTAACCATATATTCATCATTGAACACATCTTTGAAATTATGTTAATTTTGGCAGGTGCAAAATCAACATGCGAAAGAAGAGTCTCTTGCTGATGATCTCTTCAGGTAAAGTTTAATTTCATCTTTCTCATGAATCCTTGAGATGTGTATAAAATTCAGTTTTATTCATAGAGGTTAAATATTCGTTTATTCTGTCTTTAGAAATAGACACAGGGTGCCTGGGTGGCTCAGTTGGTTAAGCAGCTGACTCTTGATTTCAGCACAGGTATGATCTCAGGGTTGTGGAATCAAGCCCTGCATCGGGCTCTGTGCTCAATGTGGAGTCTGCTTTTCCTTCTCCCTCTGCTCCTCCCTGACACACACGTGCTCTTTCTTTCTCTTAAATAAATAAAAAAATCTTTAAAAAAAAAAAAACAGTCCCTTCACCTAAAGAATGTTTCATTTTTGATTTTTTTTTTTTTTTTTTTACCACTTGAGCACCTCTCAATTGGGTTTGCTGGATATATCTTCGAGGTTTGGGGGTGATTCAGCTGAACTGTATCACAAGATACTTAAAATTGCTGGGAAGGCATTCACACAAAAGAAGGGTCCTAAACTGGTGAATTTAGCTGATGACATTTGTGAGATTTTCAGCTCTTAGTTGAATTATGAATGAATGGGTATTGAGTTAAGACAAAATACCAGAGCATTTGTTCAGTTTTAGTTGGCATAAGCATAAAAACAAGAGACTGGATTAGAGTTTCAAATCAGGTTTTTGTGGGAGGTTTAGAGGAGTTATAATGGGCGGTTACAATTTAATTCTGATTTAACACATTTTCAGCATTCCTGCAGGCCCAAAACCTTATAATAATTAGCTCTCAAATACAAATAGTATAAAATAAAATTCCTTTATCTACTTATAGGTAGGTACTGACTAGGGGAGGATAACATTTTCCCAAATTTATGTAAAGGCAGAACCAAGAAGTACTGTATTTTTGAATTTGTTTTGCAGCCAGTTTGATTCTTTAATTTCGTTATTGACAGTATATGTTTTGGTGAAAATGTTGACAAATGGTGCCGATTTTTCGTAAGTAGTTAAGACTGTCTGGTTGCCAGTTAAATTTGTTTAATTACTATAGGAGAAAATTTTATAAAATATGTTTATTTTAGGCTCATTATACTCTCTTATGCAGATGTTATAATTTAGTTGGGAGTGGAAGGAGTTTGAAGCCATACTAGGATAGGTGTAAACATGTATTTATTTTTAAACCATTTTCATTAATTATTTTAATGCTTTTACAGGACTTTTTCTAGAGTTGATGTTTTATTTTTACCAAATGGTCATCAAACTAACGTCAAAAGGATAAATGAAAGTAAAAATGTCAGTGCTTAATACCGGATCCTAAGGATAAATTGGCATTCTCATTGTGTTTGCCAAAGTGTGACTGTTTTGAAAGCCCTTTAATTTTATTTCTTTCTTTGCAGATACAATCCTAATGTAAAAAGGAGACGATAACTGAGGATTTTATAAAGGAGCCACAGAAAAACATTCCCTCTCAAGCATTTACATCAAGTTTCCTCTGGCATACGTTCATTAAGTATATAGAAGGGATTTAAATTACAAAGGTTTTATGGCCTAAATTTGTTGAATAAAATGCACAAATTCCATTTTTTTTGTATGTGACAGTATTATTCAGTTTTCAGTCTTTGTCATCTCATCTCTTATGGTAATTTTTTCATTTCTAAATGTGGCTTTTTACTTACTGAATATTTAATATAGTCACAGTTCAAAATTCTAAAAGTATAAAAGAATAAGAAATGAAAAGATCTCCCTTCCACCACTGGTCTAGCTGTTTGGTTCCCCTCCTCCAAAAAAAGCCATGATACTCATTTCTTATGAGTCTTTCCAGAGATTTTTGCTGCCTCTTCAAATTTCTATGCATATTATTCTTCCAGTAATTTCCTACAAAAATGATAGCATAGCATAGTATTCTGCACCTTGCTGTTTTTTGCCAAATAGATTGGAAGATCATACACATATCAGAGCATACATTTTCCTCCCGTTGTACTGTAGTCTTCCTTGAGCTGACGTGACCCACATGAAATGGATTTCAGGGGTGAAGATATCACCCACTTATTATTCTAGTACTAGAAAAGACAATATGGAAGACTTCATCAAGCTTGTGGATAGATTTTACTAGAATGGGAAAACTTACTTGGTGGTCTTACTGAGCTGGGTGTGTATCTCTTGAGCTTCTTAGAGTCCTGGTTTTCCTATTTGCAAAATAGAAATGATAACATTGTCTTCTTTGTTAAAGGACTATGGTAAGAAAAAAATGTCTTTTTTCAGATTTTGTAATATAGACAACTTTGGCTGTACATTAGAATTATAGTAGACTTTTTATCAACTCTAACGACTGATGCATTAAGTTCTGGGAGGTAGAACAAGCTTTTTATACTGATTGAAATTTTCATGGTCCCACATAGGTTCTGCCACCCTAATGAGCTAAGCATTTTATGTTGTTAGAGATAACCTAGCATGAAAAATTATGTTCAAAGTTAATACGTACTGTTGCTAGATCCTCATGGAAGATTATTGATGTTAAACATCTCTTCATTAACTTGGCCATTTGTATATCTTTGGAAAAAAAAGTCTCTTCAGCTCCTCTGCCCGTTTTTTTAATTGGATTGTTTGTTTTTTTGCTGTTGAATTGTAGGAGTTCTTTACATATTTTGGATATTAACCCCTTATCAGATATATGATATATGATATGCATATATTTTCTCCCATTCCACAGGTTGCCTTCTTGTTTGGTTGATTGCTGCCTTTGATATGTAGAAGCTTTTTAGTTTGATGTAGTTCCACTTGTTTATTTTTTATTTCGTTGATTTTGCTTTAGATGTCAAATCCAAAGACCCAATCATTGTCATGACTGATGTCAAGAAGCTTACCTCTCCTATGTTTTCTTCTAGGAGTTTCATAGTTTCAGGTCTTACATTTAAGTCTTTAATCCATTTTTAGTTGATTTTTTCGCACATGGGACAAGATAGTGGTCCAGTTTCATTCTTCTGCATGTGGCTGTCCAGTTTTCCTGCAACCATTTATGAAGAGACTATCTTTTCCCTGTTGTATACTCATGGGTCCTTTGTCAAAAATTAATTAACCATAAATGTGTGACTTTCTCACCATAAACGTGTGACTTTATTTATTTTTTTATCTCTGTCATGTTTGATTCCTCTGTGTGTCTTTTTATGCCAATACCACATAGTTTTGCTTAATATAGCTGTGTAATATACTTTGAAATCAGGAAGTATGATGCCTCCAGTTTTGTTTTTTCTCAAGACTGCTTTGGTCATTCGGAGTTTTCTTCTGAGAGTCCAGCTTTATTTTTTCACATGTGAATATCCAATTATTCCAGCACAATTTATTGAAGAGACTCCTCCACTGAGTGTTCTTGGCTCCCTTGACAAACACTGGGTGGTGATATATACTTGGGTTTATTTTTGGGCTCTCGATTCTATATTTGTCTTGGTATATTTATTTTTATGCCAGTACCATATGGTTTTATGGACTGTAGCTTCATAGAAGAGCTTGAAATAAGGAAAGGGGGTGCCTACTGCTTTGTTCTTTCTCGGGATTTTTTCGGGCTTTTTGGAGTCTTTTGTGGTTCCATACAAATTTTAGGAGTGCTTTTTCTGCTTCTCTAAAAAATGCCATTGGAATCTTGATAGGAATTGCATTGAATCTGTAAATGACTTTTAGTAGTATTGACATTTTAACAACATTAATTTTTCCAATCCACAAACAAGGGATACTTTTCTATTTGTATCTTCTTCAATTTCTGTCATTGGTGTTTTGTAGTTTCGGAGTAGAGATCTTTTATCTCCTTAAGTTTGTCCCTAAGTATTTTGTTTTTGGTGCCATTTCAAATGGGATCTACTACTTTATTTTTCAGAAAATTTAGTGTTACTGTATAGAAATGCTACGGATTTTTTAAGTTAATTTTGTTTTGTATCCTTAGTTTTACCAAATTCATTGATTAGATGTAACAGTATCTTGGTTGAGTCTTTAGTAATTTTTTATAAAATCGTGTCTACAAATAGAGACAATTTTACTTCTTTCTTTCCAATTCTGATACCTTTTTTTTTTAAGATTTTATTTATCTGAGAGAGAGAGAGCACATGAGCAAGGGGAGGGGCAGAGGGAGAAGCAGACTCCCCGCTGAGTAGGGGGCCCAATGTGAGGCTCCATTCCTGGACCCTGGAATCATGATCTGAGCCACCCAGGCGCCCCCTGATACCTTTTATTCCTTTTTCTTGCCTGACTGCTCTAGCTAGGACTTCTGATATTATATTGTATAGGAGTGGTGAGTGGACACCCTATCTTGTTCCTGATCTTAGAGGGAAAGCTTTCAACCTGTCACCATAGAGTGGGATATTAGCTGTGGGCTTGTCGTGAACAGCCTTTATTATGTGGAGGTATGTACCCTCTGTACCTACCTTGTTGAGAGTTTTTATCATGAATGATGTCACATTTAGTCAGATGGCTTTTCTGCATCCAGTAAGATGACTGTATGATTTTTAACCTTCATTTTCTTAAAGTTATGTATCACATTGAGTTATTTGCAAACGTTGAACCATCCTTGTGTCCCTGGTCATGGTATATGATCTTTTTAATGTATTGTTGAGTTTGGTTTGCTTATATTTTGTTGAGGATTTTTTTGCATCTGTGTTCATCAGGGATTTTGGCCTGTGATTTTACTTTCTGGTAGTGCTATTTTTTTGCTTTTGCCATCAGAATAATGCAGGCCTCATAAGATGAGTGTTTCTTCCACTTCTGTTTTTTGGAAGAGTTTGAGAAGGATTGGTTTTAATTCCTTGTTAAATGTTTTGTGGAATTTACCAGTGAAGCCACCTAGTCCTCGGCTTTTCTTTGTTGGGAGGTGTTTGATTACTGATTCAATCTCCTTAGTAATACTTGGTCTATTCAGATATTCTATTTCTTCATGATTGCACCTGTGTCGATCATATGTTCCTACAAATTTACCCACTCTTGCAAAGTTCTACAGTTTTTTGGCATATAATTGTTTATTATAGTCTGTTATCCTTTCTATTTATGTGGTATCAGTTGTAATGTCTCCTCTTTGATTTCTAATGTTACTTTTTTGAGTCCCTTCTCTCTTTTTATTTTTTATATCTAGCTAAAGTTTTGTTAATTTTTTGAGGAAAAAAACAGGTTTAGTTTCATTGATCTTTTCTGTTGTCTTTTTATTCTCATGTATTTCTGCTCTGATCTTTGTTATTTCCTCCCTTCTACTAACTTTAGGCTTGGTTTGTTCTTTTTTTAGCTCCTTGAGGTGTAAATTTAGGTGGTTTGTTTGAGATCTTGTTTCTTGGTGTAGGCAGCTTATTGGTATGAATTTCCTTCTTAGAAGTGCCTTTGCTGCATCCCATAAATTTTGACGTACTTTCTTTACATTTTAATTTGTCTCAGGGTACTTTTATTTCTCTTTTGATCTCTTCTTTGATCCAGTGATTGTTCAGTAGTATGCTCTTTTATCTCCACATATTGTGAGCTTTCCAATTTTCTTCTTGTAATTGAATTTTAGTTTCACACTGTGATTGGAAAAGATGCTTGATAGGATTCCAATCTTAAATATTTTGAGACTTGTTTTGTGATCTAACATATGATCTGTCCTATAGAATATTTGTGTGTGCTTGAGAAGAATAGGTATTCTGCTGGTGTTGGATGGAATGTTCTGTAAATGTCTGTTAAGTCCATCTGGTTTAATGCATCACTTCAGCCCCATATTTCCTAATTTTCTGTCTGATCTATCCATTGCATAAAATGGGGCATTGAAGTCTCCAACTATTATTGTATTGCTGTCTGTCTCTTCCTTCAAATCTATTAATATTTATTCTATATATTTAGGTAATTCTATGTTGGGTGCATAAATATTTACATTTGTTATATCCTGTTGTTGGATTGACCCTTAATATTATACAGTGACCTTCTTTGTTTATTACACTCTCTGGATAGAAGTCCATTTTGTTTAAGTATAGCTACTCCTGCTTTCTTTTTGTTCCATCTCCATGGAATATCTTTTCCCATCCCTTCACATTCAGTCTATGTATGTCCCTAAAGCTGACATGAGTCTCTCGTAATCAGCATGTAGTTGGGTCTTCTTTGTTTTGTTTTGTTTTCATCTATTGATGTCTTTTCATTGGAAGGTTTAGACCATTTACATTTAAAGTAATTATGGATATATGTGAACTTAATGTCATTTGGCTAATTGTTTTCTGGCTAATTAATTTCTGTAAATTGTTTTGTAATTTAATTCCTTTAGTCCTTCCTTCTTGCTCTCTTCCTTTGTGATTTGGCAATTTTCTGTAGTGGTTTATTTAGATTCCTTTCTTTTTATCTTTTGCATATCCAATGTAGATGCTTTGTATTTACCATGAGGCTTAAATAAAACACCTTATAGTTACACAGTCTATTTTAATCTGGTGAGAACTTAACTGAATGCATACTAAAGCTCCACATTTTTACTCTTCCCCTAAGCCTTATGTTTTTGATGTCACAATTTACATCTTTTTACCTTGTGTAACTATTAACAAATTATTGTACTTAACGTTTTCTGCTTTTGTCTTTTAACTTTCATACTAGATTTATAAGTGACCTATCACCATTACAATATTAGAGTATTTTCAATTTATGTATTTACCTTTACCAGTGAGATTTATAATTTCATATATTTTCCTGTTACTAGTTACCATTTTTTCTTTTCAGCTTGAAGGAGTCCCTTTAACATTTCTTGTAAAGCTGGTTGAGTGATGATAAGCTTCAGTTTTTGTATCTGGAAAGCTCAATCTCTCCATCAGTTCTGAAGGACAACTTCACTGGGTAGGCTATTCTTGATTGGCAGGTTTTTTTCTTTTAGCAATTAAAATATATCATTCCACTCTCTTCTGCCCTGCCATATTTCTGCTGAATAATCTCATTATCTGGTAGCGGTTCCCTCATAAGTAACAAATTGCTTTTGTTATTCTGACTTTAAGATTCTCTTTGTCTTTAACTTTTGACAATTCATTTAATGTGTTGGTGTGGGTGTTTTGGGATTAACTGAAACTTTTTGGTTTTCTTGGATCTGGATGTCAGTTTCATTCCCCAGATTAGGGATATGTTCAGACACTTTCTTTGAATAAGCTTTCTGCCCCCTTATCTCTTTCTTCTTATGAGATCCCTATAATGCAAATATTGGTCCCATGAGTCTCATAAGCTGTCTGTACTTTTTCATTCTTTTTTTCTTTTTTCTGCTCATTATGCTGATTCCGTGCTCTACAAGTTCACTCTTTCTTCCTGTTTCATCTATCAAATCTGTTTTGAATCCTCTACTGAATTTTTCAGTTCAGTTTTGTATTCTTCAGCCTTGTGATATGTTTGGTTCTTGTTTTCTCTTTGTTGAAATATTCACTTTGTACATGTGTTATTCTGACCTTGGTGAGCATCTCTATGACCATAATTCTTAACTCTTTATTAGATAAATCACTAATCTCCAAGGTCTACTTCTAGATTTTTATCTTGTTATTCTATGTGGAAAAGGTTTCTGTATTTCTTCATTTTCCTTGACTCCCTGTGTTGATTTCTGTGTATTAGATAACATAGATAACATAGTTGAAGGTGTGCCAAGTTCTGTAAGTGTCTTAAAGGGAAGGATCTTAGCATCTAGATACAGACTGACAGGAAGCTGGACCCTCAGGCAGAAGCTTTTAAATTATTTAAGTATCCATCTTTCATGGAACTGTGAGCTGGGTGTTTCCTTCTTCTCCACTGAACCCTGGGGGAGTAGCTAGTTAAGAATTGTTTCTGTTTAGCTACAGTTCCAGTGATGTTGGTGATTTGGATTGGGCTACATACAGGGTGAATGCAGCCATGGTGTATGCTGGCTTTCCTGGTCTCTGAGTAGGATGGCAGTCTCTCCCTAGGTGTGAAATAGATTAGAAGCCTGACCTTTACACTACAGCTTTTAAGATACGCAGATAGTGTTCCCTCTCTCACTGTGTCTCTCTCTGTCAAATAAATAAATGAATTAAAAAAAAAAAATAGGCAGATAGGCCTCTGTCACGGAAAGACTGAGATAAGGGCATTTTTGCCTACTGATTCTTTCTTGAGCCCTGGGCATATAGCTGGTT